GAGGACCCACGTTCTACTCCCATTATCCACAGGGCAGGTCACAGCTGGCTAAAATCCATCCTCTTCTGACCTCCTCAGGCACCAGGCATGCACACGGTACACATACATTTGTGCAGGCAACACTCTCATACACATTAAAAAAAATTGAAAGAAAAAAAGAGGAATTCAGTGTGATGTATATCATAAAAACCAGGTTACAAAGCCACATCCACAAAGTCTCACCAACATGACTGACCGGAACAATGAACAAGGAAAACACCAATAGACATGCTAACTCACGATGCCTGAATCTCAGACAAAGAACTACAGGCAACTAAGGAATTCTGAAAGCAGGTGAAATAGTCTTCCTTAGGGAAGAGCACAGAAATTGGCCTTGAGAACATATACATACAAATTACATTGTGGACTAATCAGATTGTACTCATATATTTAGACACACACACATACATACACACGCACACGCACACGCACACACACGCACACGTAACAAGAAAAAGACCATTAACTTGAAAGAGAGCAAGGGGTGGACACATGGGAGGGTTTGGAAGGGAAGGGGGAAATGATATAATCTTAAATAAATTATTTTTTGTTTTTATTTAATGTGCATTCATGTTTTGCCTGTATGTATATAAGTGTGAAGGTTTTGGATCCCCTGAAACTAGAGTTACGTACAGGTGTAGCTGCCATGTGGGTGCTGAGACTTGAACTCAGGTCCTCTGGAAGAGCAGCCACTGAACTACTTAACCACCGAACCATCTCTCCAGCCCCTTAAAATAAATTATTAAAAAAGACAAGGTTACAGAGCTATCTATAAACATTTTTTACAGTTTTGACTAAATTGTATATTTCTGGTATATACGATTATGAAAAGCAGAATCAAAATCTCTTTCAAAAAGGCATTTGATACTTTTTTTTAAAACAATGCTATGGATCAAACCAAGGGCTTCATATGTACTAGGCAAAGTGCTATACCACTACACTCTATAGTGAATTTTCTTTAAATGTTACTATGACATATCAGTTAGCTATAGTCACAGGAATGGTAATTAATAGTCACAAAAATAAGGAACTTGAAACTATCATTATTCCTCATTCAGAAATTTGTGGGCCACCTTTCATTGTCTAGCCCCACTTTATCTTGTCTACTCCAATGCTAGTAAGCTCTTGATGTTCTCTTAATGGTGGCAAAAGTACAAGAGCCAATTGTAAACATTTAAGACTCAGCATGGTATTGTTTCTGCTCTCAAGACATTGGCCAAAACAATCCTCATGCTCAGTGCCAAAGGTAAGAAAATATCAAGAGGAGGTCTGACTGAAGTCAAATGCCAGGTGGCATACATAACAAGGAATGGTTTAGAATGAGGACCAGAGATGAGTCTGGAAAATTATAAACAAAAGCACACGTGAGGAGCCTAATGAGCCCTTGGGTCCCTCACATCTGGGTCCTCTGGCAGAGCAGCAAACACTGTTAACTACTGAGCCACCTCTAGCCCCTCCTTTGGATTCCTATAACTAAAAACATATATTTTGCGTTGGACGGATGGCTCAGTGGGAAAAATGCTTGCCACCCAAGTGTGAGAAGCTGAGTTCTGATCCCCAGAAGTCACTGACTCCCACAAGTTGTCCTCTGACCTTCGCATGTACTGTGGCATGTGTGCACACCTATACACAGAATAAATACAGGAATGTCAAAAAAGTGATTCATTAAAATAATTGCAATAGAAATCCATGCATTAGGTACTGTGATAAAGGAGGCAGAGATGATGATCTCAGATCCTGTGTAATACACTACTTACTGTACTTGGCTGTCTGACTTCTGGTACCAACACCACTTCCTAAAGCTACTCTGTGCATTATGTAAGAAGAACTATGTTGCTGTCAACTACAGTTAGAATCATATGAATAAACTAAAACACACCAGGACAGAATATAATCCTTCAAATAGATCCAGAAAGGTTTGTTTAGACAGACTTTTGTGTGGATATGTCCCAATCCATCCTCAACACTCGCTTCAAACTCAGTGTGTAGCTGAGGATAACCTTGAACTAATGATCTGCTATTACAAAGTACTGGCATTATAGATTTGCTGTGTGTCTGCAGAGTACTGGAATTAAAGACCTGGGCCACCATGAATAATTAACTAGAATAGTTTCTGCAATATGTTAAAAGTTTAAAAATTAATTACTAAGCCAAACTTGACTGTGAATAGTACAGAGCTTGGAGGGAAAAGAACTTGCTTTCATTACTGTCATTACTGGGTGTGTTTGTTTGTTTTTTTTTTTTTTTTTGCGATACCTTAGTTGTTGAAAACGGTTGGATAGGAAGGTTGGTAGCCAGCAGTGGTTCAGTTTCTAGCACCTACGTCATACAGTTCACAAGCTGCTACTCCCTCCAGTTTCAGGGGCTCTGATGCCCCCTTTTGACTCTCTGGGCACCTGCACACAGGTGGCACACACTGTTCTAGTTTTCTGTTGTGTTGACTTCTGGGGTCTAAACTCAAGTCTTCCTGCTTCTGTGGAGTGCTTTGGCCACGGACCCATCTCCCCAGCCCAACAGTGAAGTGCTTTTAAAAGACCACTAGAGTACATTGTATACATTTTTTTTTTTTTTGGTTTTTCGAGACAGGGTTTCTCTGTGTAGCTTTGCGCCTTTCCTGGAACTCACTTGGTAGCCCAGGCTGGCCTCGAACTCACAGAGATCCGCCTGGCTCTGCCTCCCGAGTGCTGGGATTAAAGGCGTGCGCCACCAACGCCCGGCCACATTGTATACATTTTACACTCGGTCCCATTAAGTAGCACATTCCTAAGTTTTTTTACCAAGAGCAAGTAAATAGACTTTTTAACATTACAGGAAGTTTTTGTTTTACATGGTGCTGATAGGCAACACTCCCCACACAGGGTTTCTCTGTGTAGCCCTGGCTGTCCTGGAACTTGCTCTGTAGACCAGACTGGCCTCAAAACTCACAGAGATTCATCCGCCTGCCTCCACCTCCAGAGTGCTTGGATTAAAGGTGTGTGCTGCCACCACTGCTACCAGGCCGGACCAATTTTTTAAATTGGATTTACAAAGAGTTTTAATTAACTGGCTTGGATTTCAATTATATATTAACTGTGGTTACATAAAGTACAAACTTCATTGTCAGTTCTTCAGTTAAAAAATGACTGCATAACTGATCATGACCAGTCACATCTTTTCTTTCAGAATCTGCTGAAAGTGGTGATTAGTTACTGTACACTGTATTGCTTTGTCTCCCGTTGAGGAAGCCTGTAGGACATTTTACAGATACAGACAGAGACAGCCTAAAGAGAAGAAAGTGCATCAAGATATAAAAATCCACCCATTCTCTGGTTTTTGATAAAAATGCACTCTTTGAATTTTTAGATAGACTGTATTAAGATGGGGTTGTATTGTTTTCTTTTCCTTTCTTTTCTTTTTCTTTTTCCAAGATAGGGTTTCTCTGTGTGTAGCCCTGGCTTTCCTGAAACTTTCTCGGTAGGCCAGGCTGTCCTCAAACTCAAAGAAATCTGCCTGTCTCAGCCTCCTGAGTCCTGGGATTAAAGGTGTGTGCCACCACTGCCCAGCTGATTGGGCTATATTGTAAATGCAGTCCCTGCATGGATTTCCAGAGCACATGCACATTTTAAAAATACTTCCTTAGGTAAATTTGAAACACACATATAAAAAGAAACCAAGATAAGAGACTAGACTAAAATAGCACACTGGATTTATCATCCAACTTGATTTTAGAACATTGGAAAATTTTGTTGCATCTGTGCCTACTCCACCTACCTTTGCATTATTTTCCAGGTGGATATTTCATAGCACATTTGTTCTTGTTTCCTTCTCTTACTGTGATAAGGCATTCTGACCACAAGCAACTTGGTAAAGAGTAGGGTTTACAGTCCAGGTCTCACTTCATCATTGAGGGAGTCAAGGCAAGAAGCAGGAGGAAGGCTACTTGCTTCTCTGGCTTGCTTCTTGTTCTCTGGCTTCTTTCCAAACTTCTGTTTGGCCAGCTTTGTTAGCCCAGGACCACCTGCCTAGTTATGGATGGTATCTTTACTGTGGGCTGGGCCATCCTCAGTGAAGTAGTCCTCTGACAATGCCCCAATCGAGAAGCTGACAGACCAAATCAGATACAGGCAGTTGAGGTTCTTTCTTCCCAGGTGACTCTAGGTTATGTTAAGTTGGCTGTAAAAACCAAACGGCATCTCTGTTTGCTAAATTGCTTTCTAGAAGTGTTAAAAATTTATGCTTGACAGGGATAAAAGTGAAAAAGTTAAAAATGTTAGTATTCTAAGTTAGATATGTCTATTGCAAAAGATTTTAGTTAAAGTGAATTTGGCCATACTTACACTCTAGCAGCAGGTTTTAATCACCTCATTAATATGCTTCACAGAAGAATGAATGCTGTGCCTATTGGGGCAACATATAGAGGAGGCACAAGTAATAGGAATACCGGTATAACAGGCAGGAATCAGGACTTCTAGCAGAACAGGACTGTTTGCTGTGTACATAAAGCACATTAGCGCGAGTGACCACATCAGTCAGTTACTCATCTTCATGTATCCATGTGTAGGTGTGTACCAACATCTTTCACTTAAAAGAACTGAATCCATAGCTTAGAAAGGCAATGAAAGTTAACAGGTTGCATTTCTGGGTGGTCTTGGAGCTAACAGTGATTCCCTATTTTTTAAAAGGTGTAATTAAAAAAGAATTACTTTTATTTTGTGTATGTGAAGACACAGTGTACTGGCCTTGAACTCACAAAGATCTGCCTGCTTCTGTCTTCTGAGCACTGGGATTAAAGGTGTGCACCACCACCTCCCAGTCCAGAGGACAGAAAATTTGTAGGAATTACTTCTCTCCTGCTGTGTAGGCCTCAGGGATCAAACTCAGGTCCTCAGGCTTGGCTACAAGTCTTTTCCTGCTGAGCTACCTTACTACCCCTAAGTAATACAGTTTTTGTAAGTAAGAATTTTTGTTTGTTTTACTTATAGCCAGAGAATGCTGGAGGAGACCTCAAGGATGGCTGTCAACACTACGAAGGAGCTGTTGTCATTCTGGATGCTGGGGCTCAGTATGGGAAGATCATCGACCGGAGAGTGCGGGAGCTCTTTGTACAGTCTGAAATCTTCCCCTTGGAAACACCAGCCTTCGCCATAAAGGAACAAGGATTTCGGTAGCCTTTGACTTTAGATTCTGGAATATTTTGTGATTAGTTTACTTGAACATTGTGGATTTTCTATAAAAACCCAATATGGTTTTTTAAGAAATTGCCTATAGCTTTGATTTGGAATTTAAAAGGAATAATCTATACTTTTAGTCAAAAAGATTACCTTGACGTCTTAATTTTTTTGTTTCAATGATGCTGGGGAGTTTACTTTGACTGTAATTATACAGCTAGTATGTTGTTTGAGTAGTTTATATGATTTGTGGGTCAGAGTTAGGTGTGGTTCTAGTGGTCATTTGTTCATTGACCCTATAGCATTTAGTCAAAAGAAATATGGACAAATAGTTGGGTAGAGTAGCTGAAAGGGAGGAAGTATTTATGTAGGAAGTCCCTTTTGTTTCTAACCCTGAATAACTAGTTGCTAAAGGACAAAACCATTCCTATGTCAAGTTGGGCTAATTCCAGTGGTTCATATCTCTTTTTTTTTTTTTTTTTTTTTGGTTTTTCGAGACAGGGTTTCTCTGTGTAGCTTTGCGCCTTTTCCTGGAACTCACTTGGTAGCCCAGGCTGGCCTCGAACTCACAGAGATCCGCCTGACTCTGCCTCCCGAGTGCTGGGATTAAAGGCGTGCGCCACCACTGCCCGGCCTGGTTCATATCTCTTAATGATCAAAACAGCCAAGTTAGGTGAGGCTTTTTGGTTCAGCAGCTATCTCTCTATGGCTAATGCTCTGTCTTTTCCTGTGGATTAGTGCTAGATAGGTTTTTCCTAGAAGGGACTTCAGTGTCCATCCTTAATTGACTCTCAGACCTTTACAGTAGGTGAATTAAAACAAATAAAAAGGAAGGATGTGACTGCTCTTACGTATGATGGGAAAGTTTATTATAGATAAAAGGGAGAGCATAGCCAGAGGCAGAGACATCTGGGAGAGTCCAGAGTGCATATGACCCTGAGCCATGTGAGGAGAGTGGGGAGAGGAAGGAGGAGCCACTGACCAAGAGGGGCAGCTTGGGCCAAGAGACTAGTCAAGAAAGTAAAGAATAGACCAAAAGGGCAGATAATCAAAATGGCTTAGATCATATAGGGAAGGGGGATGGGGGGGGCGACGATGAAGAGCAACCCAGCCCCTGGGCCGGAGAAGTTCAGGGTAGGGGCCCAGGTATGCCAGCCATACCCTGTAAAGGTAGGGATTGGGGGATGCCGGGAGAACCTGGTGGCCAGTGTCTGCTTTGATATGGTAAGTAGACACTTAAGCCATCTGGGGTTTGAGACCTAACACTAGGTATGCTATCTTTCTCTTCAAATATGTTTTATTTTTCAAAATTATACCTTGTGTGTGTGTTTGTACATATACATGTGAGCTTGAGGAAGTCAGAAGACAGTTTGTGGGAGTTGATTCTCCTGCTGCCACATTAGTTTGAGGGATCAAACTCAGGCTTGATAGCAAGTGCCTTTACCTCACGAGCCGAATCGCTGGCCACTGAGTATATTTTCCCTTTTCTTTCTTTAAAAAAAACAAAACAAAATACAATTCAATGTTGTAGCTCACACCGGCCACAAATTTGTGGTGATTCTCTTGCTTCAATTTCCTTCCCAATTGCTAGAATTAGAGGCATGAGCTACAAGGCCTAGCTAGGTGTTTTTTGTTGTTGTTTTTTTTTCTTTGAGACAGGACTTTTATGTAGTCCAGGCTGGCCTTGTAACCCAAGGATTATAGGTGTGCTCCATCACATTTAGTTTATGTGGTGCTGAGGATCAAGTCTAGGGCTTTGTAAATGCTAGACATGTATTCTACCAGCTGAGCCACACAACCACCTACCTGGTTGTCTCCCTCCATTCTTCCCTTCTGTCCTTCCTTCTACAGGCTGTCACTATGCTCCCTATGTAGTCCAAGTGACCCCCAAAGAGATCCTTCTGCCTCAGCTTTCCTTGTCCTGAAATGAAAGGCTTATGCCCCCAGGTCTAGCCCCCCCCCCCCCCAAAGAAAAAGACAGGCTCTCACCATGTAGTCCTGGCTAGCCTAGAGCTCTCTATGTAGACCAGGCTGGCCTTAAACTCATAGAGATCAACCTATGTTTTTTTTTTTCTTTTCTATTCCCCTAAAATTTTAGATGAAGCTTTGTGCTGTTCTCTGGGTTTAGAATACACTGTTTATTACTTATTTTAATTTTATGTCAAATGAGTGTTTTGACTGCATGTAAGTGTACTGCATGCATGCCTGATGCCTGCAGAGGCTAGAAGAGGGAGATAGATCTCCTGGAACTGAAGTTAGATGATAGTAAGCAACAATATGGGTGCTGGTGTAGTTGGACATTTTTCTCTATCCCGCCCTGGTCCTGAGGTCCTGTAGCCACTTTTAAAATAACCATCCAGAGACTTAATATTAATTACAAACTGTTTAGTCTATGGCTCAGGCTTATTGCTAGTTAGCACTTACATCTTAAATTAACCCATTTCTGTTAATCTGTATTTTGCCACGTGGCTGTGGCGTTACCAGTCTGTTGGCATGTTGCTCCTTGGGTGGCTGGATGGTGTCTTCCAGACTCTGCCCTTCTCCTGTCTCTGCTTGGATTTCCTGCCTGGCTCTGTCCTGCCTTGCCATAGGCCAAAGCAGCTTTATTCATCAACCAATGAGAGCAACACATATTCACAGAGTACAGAATCCCACAGCATGCTGACAACTGAACCATGTCTTTTGGAAGAACGCAAGTGCTTTTAACTACTGAGCCATATCAACAGCCTGTTTCAGTTTTTTTAAAAACAGTTTTTGTTTTTTATTTAAATTGAAAAGTGGTTAAAAGAATTCTTAAAGGCTTCTTATACATGTTTACTATATTTTGAGACTTCTTGTTTTATGAAGTACAGGGCAATTTAAATTTAACTGTATGCTAGTATTTTTTGGTTTTTTTGAGACAGGGTTTCTCTGTGTACTTTTGGTGTCTGTCCTGGATCTTGCTCTGTAGACCAGGCTGGCCACAAACTCATAGAGATCTGCCTGGTATGCTAGTCTTATAGTACAGAATAAATGCATTTTGTTGCCTGTTTGTTTATGGTGCTGGCATTGATTCAAGACATACACATGTAAGGCAATTGCTCTTCCATAGAGCTATGCATGTTTGTGTGCATTGAGACAGTCTTATTCTGTAGGCTAGCCTGGCCTCCAGACTTGTGGAATGTGTCTGCCTTAGTCTCCATGTCCAAGTGTGCTAGGACTGTGGGCATGTACTACCATGACTGTCTTGATGAGTTTCATCATCATGCATATGTGTCATTATACTTTGTTCTACATCTACTCAATTTCCCTCCCACTGACTCTTCTCTCTCCTCCATAAAGGGAGGTTTTCCTTCTGTATACCAGAGGCCTCTGCTATACACTCAGCTTTTCAGTCTGTGGTCTAGGCAGATTTTCTCACCCTATACAGATTCCCTTCATCACATTCCCAGGGTAGCTAATGTAGTGCTGTCTTCTAAGTGTGTTGAGTGTGGGGAACAACTACAGTATTGAGATCTGTTCAGACAGAGGATCTGTGTTAGTACCTTCAAGACCTCGTGTATATCAATCACCTTGGCTGTACTGGACAGCTGCAGCCGGGGGTTTCAAACACCTGCGGCATTATATTAGGACTCATACTTGGACTCAACAGCAGTGACTAGCAAGTGGCTTCAGAGTTTGATCTACGTGCTGGCTTCTGGCTCCATTATCAGACTTCAGAGTTAACTCTCCATTAGTGATGTGCTCCTGGCCATCCTTAAGTACTTTGCCCCTGGAGCCAGCCTACACCCTTCTTTGCTGTATGTTCTTGTTTCTGTGTTTTCTCCTGTTCTCCACAGTTGCCTCTCTGGGTCTTCTCCCACACAAGGCTGTGGCAAGGCAAACTGAAATTTTCTGACCTGTGGGTGTTTACTTACCTCAGTTCCCTGGCCTAGCTCAGTTACTTATTCATTTGTGTGTTCATTATTTATTGAGTGTGTGAGTTCGGGCACATGCTTACCACAGTATGTGTGGAGGTCAGAAAAAAACTTCAAAGATAGTTGGTTCTTTTCTTGGACTATGACAGAAGGAATTCAGGTCACCAGGCTTGTACGGCAAGTTCTTATGGCCTTCCCAGGAGTCATTTTTCCCCCCTCAAGAACAGGGTTTCTCTGTGTAGCCCTAGTTGTCCTGGAGCTCACTCTGTAGACCAGGCTGGTCCAGAACTCAGAGATCCTGCCTGCCTCTGCCTTCAGAGTGCTGACATTTAAAGGTGTGTGCCACCACATATCAAATTTTTGACAGGAGAAAACTCAATACTTTTTAAAAAATATAATTTATTTTAATTTTATTTTCATTGGAGTTTTGCCTGCATGTATGTCTGTGAGGGTGTCAGAAGCCCCGGAACTAGTTACATACAGGTGTGAGTTGCCATGTGGGTACTGTGAATTAAACCTGGGTCCTCTGGAAGAGCATCCATTGCTCTTAACCACTGTTCCAGCCCCCCAAACTCAGTATTTTTAAGTTACATCCTCAGCGTTGGTCTCCGAGAGTTCTTACTCGATACCAAGAGCCTTCACCTCATGACCCTCCTGCCTCTTTCTTTAGTGTTGGGGATTCAGGTATATACCACCTTGTCTTTGTTTACCTGTTTACTACCAATGAACATCTTTTTATTTATTTTATGTGTATGGGTGCTTGCCCTGTATGTGTGCAGCCACGTGCATCCCTAGTGCTCCTGCATCAGATCCCTTGGGACTGGAGTTACAGATGGTTGTGAGCCATAATGTAGGTGCTGGGAATCAAACCTTGGTCCCTAGAAGAGCAGCCAGTGCTCTTAACCGCTGAGCCATCTCTCAGGTCCTCAGAGCTGCTTGTGTTTTTTTTTTTTGTACTGAAAATAATTTTTTTTTCACATAATAAATTCTGATCACAGTTTCCCCTCCTCCAGGTCCTCCAGCCCCCCCCCCCCAACTCCCGTACCTTTCTCTCTCTTTAGGAAAAATAAAACATAAAATAATAATAATAATAATAATAATAATAATAATAATAATAATAGAATCATAGAGACACATAGACACAAAAAAGCTCAAAATCCATAAAAACAAAATTGGAAACTATAATATACAAGCAAAAGACCAGTAAGGTTAAAAAAAAAAAAGCAATATGAGAATAATTTTAAAAAAAAAACTAAAAAATGCCACTGAGTTCATTTTGTACTGGCCATCTACTTCTGGTCTTGGGACCTGTCCTTAAGTGTGGTTTGAATACCTAGTGAGACTCCAGTGGAGAAACTAAGTTTTCCTGTGTGAGCAGTTGACAATTGGAGGCAGCTTCTTGGCTAGGGGTGGGAGATAATGTCCACTTTCAGTCTCAGCTCTGGGACCTGAGTGGGCTCTGTGCGTGCTCTCACAGCCTTTGTGAGTTCATATGTATGGCAGTCCTGTTGTGTCTGGAAGACAGTTTCCTTGGTGTCATCCATTCCCTCTTGCAATCTTTTTGCTAAGCCTCCTGAGGAGAGGTTTGATGGAGATGTCCTGTTTAGAATAGAGCCGACTTTCTTTTTTCCTTCCTCCTTTTTTTTTTTTTTGGTAGAAGTGGCATAGATACTTTATCACTGTGACTTTTATTACTTTGATCCTTTCTGCTGGAAGTTCTATTTCACCATTTCTTTTGTTTGTTTGTTTTGTTTTGTTTGTTTTTAGAGACATAATCTCATTATTTAGCTGTGACTATCCTGGAACTCAGTATGTAAACCATGATACTGGCTTTGAAATCTCAGAGATCCACTTGCCCCTCACTGCTAGGATTAAAAGCATGTACCACCACACTCAGCTTCACTGTTCTTTTAGTCAACATGAGAAACATATTGACCACTTTTTGTTTATAACCTGTTATATGCATGATGCATATACATTGTAGCAAGCAAGCAACTTTCAAAATAACAAGGGTATTATAAGACTAAGAAAGTGTGGTTAACTGGAGTTACTGAGGCTTTTCATAATTGGCTTAACTACTGGAGTTTATCCTTTATTGAATCTGTCTTTTTTTAAAATTTTCTGTTTAACATGACTAAGATTCTTACAGCCTGAAGTTGTTTAACAGACTAAAATAGACAAATGAAGGATCCTGGGCGCTGTGGTTATTGTTTTGTTAATAGGGTCTCACTATGCAGCTCTGTGGTTATCTAATAGAAGTGATTGTGGAGCTGGCAGGTTGGCTCAGCAGGTAAAGGTGCTTCCATTCAGTTCTGATGACCTGAATTCAGTACCTGGAACCCACATAAAGGTGGAAGGAGAGAACTGACTGGGTAGGGCTAGATTCTGGTTTCCTTAAGTACTGTGGTATTTGCACCTCCTACCCATGCCATGCACATGCACAAAATTCAAAATTCAAAAACAAAAATCTGAACATGATTCAGATCCTAGCTGTCTGATTAATAAGTGCTTGCTTCCCCTGCCACTCCTCCTGTCGGTGCCCGGACCTTTTATAAGCTGGGCAAGTGCTCTGCCACTGGGCAAGCACTACCATTGAGGCATAGCTTAGGCTTTAGGTGTATCTCATAGAGTTTTAGCTTTGTTAAGAGTTAGGTTACAGATCTGTTCTAGTGCTGTCCCAAACGTTTTTTTTCTTCCAACCTTTGTATGTCACAGTACGGAATATTGTTGTATACTCAGTCCCTAAGATTATTTTATACATTTGGTTCATAATGCCCTAGCTTACAGTTTGTTTTCCCCTGCTTCTTTTTAGATAGGTACTCCTCTGTAGGCCAGTTTGACATCCAACCATGATCTTCCTGCATTAGTTTCTCAGGTGCTGGGATTACAGACAAGCACAACTCTGCCTGCTTGTCTCTGATTGTAGCTGTTCAGAGTCATGCAGGAGTAAATGCTTAATGGGTAGCTTCTTGTGGCAGCATGTACCTATTATCCCAGCATTCATGAAGTGGGGAGGTGGATAAAGTTCCATGTTGGCCTTGGCAACATAGTGACACTGTCTCAAAAATCCAAATCAACACAAACCAAATAATAATAATTAAAGTCAGCTTTAGTTTTTTTTTTTTTTCCTTCCCCCTAAGGAAATATCTTTAAACATGAATTTTTTGTGATAGTCCCATTAAGTTTTTAGAGTGAACACTGAAGGCCAGATAAGATGTGTCACTGGCCAGGTGAGGAATGTGGCCTCGGTTTGCACCTTTCCATTACTAATTCCATTCCTAAGTTAATATACAAATGTTTTGTTGCAAATTGTAACTTAGCTAAATTAGATGACAGCATTGGGTTAACCTTTAAGAACTGGGCATAGGGGGCAAAAGGAACAGATGTTGAAGATATTAATTAAAGATTTGCATTCTGTACTGACTCCTTTTTCAATCCACAGGGCTATTATCATATCTGGAGGACCTAATTCTGTGTATGCAGAGGATGCTCCCTGGTTTGATCCAGCAATATTTACCATTGGCAAGCCTGTTCTTGGAATTTGCTATGGCATGCAGGTACAGCTGCATTTTGAGTTTGAGAGTTTACTAAATGTTTTATTCTTATGATTTAAACATTCTTTGTCTCTTTAAGATAATTGGGCATATTAATACTGTGTATTGTTTGCTATACTATGGTGGAGTCGACCTTATAAGGAAACCTGTTTGTAAGTAACTAAATTACTTAAGAAACCACCATCCGCCGGGCGGTGGTGGCGCACGCCTTTAATCCCAGCACTCGGGAGGCAGAGCCAGGCGGATCTCTGTGAGTTCGAGGCCAGCCTGGTCTCCAAAGCGAGTTCCAGGAAAGGCGCAAAGCTACACAGAGAAACCCTGTCTCGAAAAAAACCAAAAAAAAAAAAAAAAAAAAAAAAAGAAACCACCATCCATCTATCCACCATCCATCTATCTGCCTGCCTGCCTGTCTGTCTATCTATCATCTGAGATAGGGTCTCACAGTTTTACTAAACAAGATCTAAGGGAATAGAAACATAAACCAGATAAAATTTCAAAAGTTCTCCCTATGGTTGTAAGCCAAAAGATTGTCACATTATAGCATTTAAACACTGTCTTACTTGATCGTTTGGAAATAAAAGCTAGAAAGCATCCCTGAATAATGTATTACTATTAGTTGCATATTAGTACATTTATGAGCCCCCTCTTCTTTCCCTTCCCTCTCCCTTTCTCCCTCTCTATCTTCCTTCCCTCTCTTTCATCTTGTTTATGTACAGAACTTTTTGCTACATAGTCCAAACTACTCACAAATGAGTAATCTTACTGAAGCCTCTTGAGTACTATAACATTTTCACTTAAAAAAGAATCCCCGGGGCTGGAGAGATGGCTCAGAGGTTAAGAGCACTGGCTGCTCTTCCAAAGGTCCTGAGTTCAATTCTCAGCAACCACATGGTGGCTCACCACCATCTGTAATGAGATCTGGTGCCCTCTTCTGGCCTACAGGGATACATGCAGGCAGAACACTGTATACGTAATAAATAAATAAATCTTTAAAAAAAAAGAAAAAAAAAAGAATCCCCTCAGGCTGGGCGGCGGCGGTGGTGCACGCCTTTAATTCCAGCACTCGGGAGGCAGAGCCAGGCAGATCTCTGCGTTTGAGGCCAGCCTGGTCTACAGAGTGAGATCCAGGACAGGCACCAAAACTACATAGAGAACCCTGTCTCGAAAAAAAACAAAAACAAAAAAAGAATCCTCTCATCCTTCCTTCCCCCATATTAGTCAGGGTTCTCTAGAGGAACAGAATATATATACATAGAGAGAACACACACACACACACATATATCGAGAGAGAATTTACTAGAGTGGCTTATAGGCTATGGTCCAGCTAATCCAACAATGGCTGTCTCCCAATGGAAAGTCTGAGAATTCAGTGGTTGTTCAGTCCATGAGGCTGGATGTCTCAGCTGGACTTCAGTATACATCAGAATCCCAAAGGAGTAGGCTCTAACGCCAGTGAATCAATAGTAGAGGTGAGCAGGCAGAGGCAGAAGTTTCTTGCTTGTCCTTTATATTGGGTGACAGGAGAAGGTCACCCAGATTTTCTGTGCGCATGTGTGGGGGAGTTCTTTAACATCAATTGATCGGGATTTAAGGTGGGTGTTCCTATGTCAGATGATTCAGTTAACTAAAAATTCTTCACAGGTGTGCCCAGCTACTTGGTTTTTAGTTAATTCTAGTTGTAGTAAAGTTGACAACCAAGAATAGCCATCATCTCCTGGTGAGAGCCGCAACATTATGCAGTAGGGACTCAGCTGTCATTTGTAGAGGTCACTGCACCAGAACCAAGGGTTCTAATGGAGGATTAAGCCAAGACAAGATGTTTTGGAATTATTGCCTTTTGAATGAATTAGCTGTTTCTTGTAGATTTCTTGTGCAATTACTCTATGATATCTCCCCTTTACCTTACATCTTCATGTAATGTGTATATGTAATCTCATGATTACATCTCAGTCTTATGGTCAGGAAGATGACTTTTCATTTAGCTGTATAATTTTGATATATAGAAAATATACTAGGAGATGCTTCATAGCCAGATCTATTGGCCCACGAGACTGTAGACACTTAAAGCCTGCTTTGTTCCTTGTAGCTGTGTGGTCGCTACACGAGTGTGTGGGTTCATGCGGATCCGTGGAATGAAGACACAGAGGCATCTTAAGAATGAATTTAGCCTATCATGGCTGCAGGGGGGTCCAGCCTCGAAGGACTGAAGCACTAACCCTTTGCCTAGGGCATATTTATTTACTCCATTTTACGGTTTAGAAAGTTAATCTCTGTACCTTTAAAGCAACCCAAAAGGAGCTCCCAGAGACCAAACGCCAGGTGCAAATTTATCAGGTACCATGGTTTTTCAGGTTTCCTGGACCAAGTTTTGCATAGGCCTTTGATCCTTGGAGGACTCTCTGATCCTTGACTCTCAGACAAGATTCACATAGGGTGATAGGAGAAACAAAAGGTAAGAGAAACAAAAGATGGGGCTAAACAAAGGAAGGGTTAGGTCTAGGTGATGCTCTCTGGAGCCAAGCCAGGAGCTCAGCAGGAATGCCACTACAGTTCCTTTTACTCAGACTAACAAAAATAACAATCTTGCCTCAGTCTGACACAAACTGCACACATTTTAACTCAGTTTTACTTCAGAGCAAGTTCAAACTAGACTAAAGGCTTTTGTAAATAGATCCTAAGTTTAAAACTTGACAGTTATGCACAAGGTCAGAATTGTAGATGTCTTACCAAGGTTACTAACACAAAACACCTTAAGAAAAGCCTGCCAATTCTTTGCTAAGTCTGCTGATAAAAAGCAATGTCTCAGTGTTTGTCCCTCTGGTCCCGAGACCTTGGAACCTTGCGTTACCAAGGTAATGGCTCTGCTCCTTATGTCTAATCAAGGATTGTGTTAGGGTTTTGATACTTTTCTCAGGATTGCAAGGAATCTCCTTTTAGAAATTGTAGGAGTCAGGCAAGAGAGGAGCTAAGAATGAGAGCTGAAAAGAAGATGTGGATTTAGAGAAGCAGGAGAATAAAAAGACATGCAACGAGATAGGGTATAAACAGATGCATTCCTCAACCCTCAGATAGGGTTTTTCTCTGCTGGTTGTAGAGCCTTTTCTGGACTCTGGGAGGAAGTCTTTAAGACTGACATTTAGAGGCTTTCGTTAATATTCTCATTTGCTTTTAAACTAAAAAAAATTTCTTTTAAACTAACAAGTCCTTAAGGTTTTTTTTTCTATGCCAAGAATAGCCAAGAGGCTGGGCTGATAAGTGGTTAGAGCAAAACACCTGGGTTTGATTTCCGGCACCCACAGGATAGTTAACAACCATCTGTAACTGTAGTTCCAGGAGAGCCATTCTCTCTTCTGACCTCCCAGGACACAGGGATGCATGTGGTACACATATGTACATGCAGGCAGAACACCAAGAGGTTTAAAAAGCCCAATTAATATATGACCATGGATTAACATGTTCAATTTATTATAAATTCTGGCTGTCCTGGAACTCACTTTGTAGACCAGGCTGGTCCTGAACTCATAGATACCTGCTTTCCTCTACCTCCCGAGTGCTGGGATTAAAGGCATGGACCACCATGCCCGGCTATAAATTGTCTTCTTATGTTTTCCGTTTTGCCTGTCCTTTGCCTTTAGAATGTAATGAAGGAAAAGAAACAAGACATTTTTACAGGAAAGACACAAGATAAATATTATAAAATCAGGGTTTCATGTAGCTCATTTTGGCCTCAAAGCCTTTGCTTTGTGGCCAGGAGACCCTTGAACTCTTGATTTGTCTGCCCTAATTATTCTTTATATACTATTTTCTAGCTACTGAAAGGGTAAAAATTATTCTTTGATTGAAGGAGAAGTTAAAACAGATTGAGTATATGCCGGGAGTAATCCATGGCAGTGGATGGGTCCTGCAGAGGGTATAAGGAGTTGGTGGGGTGTGGGAGCCCGTTCTCGGGTTCCTCGTGGCTTTACCCAGCAGGTCCGCATAGAGGATGATTAGACCACGGGCCTGAGTGCAGGTGTCTGAGATGGTCTGCACTTGGCTGTGCTGGGGGAGGAGGTCTTTCGCTCCACCCCTTGGCGTCTCTATAAAAACCCTGGGGCAGAGACAGTCGGGGCCCGTTGGAATAGGTTCCAGGCCCTCTCGAGGCTATCCTTTATTTTCTATCTGTTTATCTCTGCGATATTCTCCGCAATTAATCCTTCTATCTAATATTTCCTGCTGCTCGCACTCAAGAAAACTCTGGGGAACTGTGGGGGTGGTTGGGTAAACGCCCCACAGTGGGGGAAGGAAATGAGCCAGGCCATGGTGGTCTGGAGAATCTTGCAGCCTGCCTGCCTAGCAGCCAGAGTGTTTCTTTATTTATACAGAATTTAGTAAGCAGGGATACATCCATGATGTTCTAAAACATAGATCATATCATTTTTGTTTTTGGACATGTGCTTCACTTCCTTTTGTTCATCTTTTAGTCATCATTAATAAACTATGACAGAACAGAGTTATCATTTCAATTATTTTTTTTTCAAGTTTTGACATCATTAAAAAACAGAGTTATCGCCGGGCGGTGGTGGCGCACGCCTTTAATCCCAGCACTTGGGAGGCAGAGCCAGGCGAATCTCTGTGAGTTCGAGGCCAGCCTGGGCTACCAAGTGAGTTCCAGGAAAAGGCACAAAGCTACACAGAGAAACCCTGTCTCGAAAAACCAAAAAAAAAAAAAAAAAAAAAGTTATCATTTTTACTCATTAACCCCATAAATCAATTTTTGAGAATCTAGAGGCATATGACAGCCTGTGCTCAGGCTGGTTGCTTTGGTTGCTTCAAGGATACTAGACCTAGACCAAAACAAAATCTTCAAGCAAACCCCCCCCCCCCCCCAGCAGTGTATTATTAATATTAACTCTTAGTGTTCAGAGCGCCCAGAAAAATTCCTCAGGCTAAAGCTGCTGTAGTTATTATTCAAATTCTGACATAATACAATGTTCACATTTATATCTTTATAGAATTTGTCTGTATGTCTCATCCTGTCATTCTCTTGTTTCTTGGTCATATGACATTATAGTGGCTCTATATAAGCTAACTTTTCTAGGAGAGGGAAGTCCTGACACCTCATTGTTTCATCATCTTTCCACTCCATACTTTGTTCATCAGGGCAGAGTTGTATGCCACATAATTGTCTGAGTGCACAGTGGGAAGAAGCTTATAATCTGAACTGTGGCCAACTCCTCTAGCCCACTGAATCTTGTTGACCTTTTTGAATTTACATTGTGTTGAATATCTTGTTCCTGTGTAAGTGCAGGGACAGAAGTTTCAAGAATGTCTCATAGCCTAATGAAGAGACCTGGCTTCTTTATGTGCCACAACCTCCAAGGCATAAGGAAGACCCTCAAGTAGATAAGGATATCTCCCTGAAACGGGGGTGGGGGTGGGGTGGGATGGGGGCGATAGTATGTTCAGGACTTTTCTGGGGAAGCTTAGAAGTAACATTTCTGGGAGATGGCACACATGATTCATAAGGAATTTTCCATCAATCCAATATCCTCAAATTGTAGAAATATTAAAAGTCTCTGAAGTATGCAACGGGTGGAGATGAAAACCAAAGGTGGCATGGCAGCCATCATGTGGCTCGGCTTTGCTGGATCTTTGTCAAGCAGCTGTGCTGGCTTTATGACTTCTGCCATTCTATTCAGATATGGCTCTGCCAAGTATACATACCATAGCAGCTGACCATTTTTGTGGTTTACACATATTTGTCCTTTATATTATTATTATAATTATATCTCTCCCCCCCCCCATGTTTTCTCTGGATAACGGCCCTGGCAATCCTGGAACTTGTTTTGTAGACCAGGCTGGCCTCAAACTCAGAGATCCACCTTCCTCTGCCTCTAGAGTGCTGTTTTAAAGGTGTGCTCCACCATGCCCAAATGCCCTTTATATTCAACACAAGACTTTCATTGCATTGCCCTTATCTAATGTCTAGTTTTGCCTCTTGTCTGTCACTCTCTAATTCAACCATTCAGACTTGTTTTATCAAAATGGATTATATATTTTTCCTTCATGGCTGTCAGACATTTTTCTAGAACTCCTGTGTTGCTGCTGCAGTTCTTACCTGTTCTGGCTTTTTAAATCTCTGAGTACCTTTGCAAGTGCTTTCAAATTAAATTCTGACTTGAGGGAAATTTCTCTTTTTTCTTTTTGGAGATGGGGGTCTCACTATATAGCTATATGGCTGTCTTGGAGCTCAACTATGTAGACCAAGCATGGTTTGAACCTACTGAGCTTCACCTACCTCTGCCTCCAGAGTTCTGGGATTAAAGATGTGCTATTACACCTGGCTGAAATTTCTCTTTTTTTTTTGGGGGGGGGGGGGATTTTTTTCGAGACAGGGTTTCTCTGTGTAGCTTTGCGCCTTTTTCCTGGAACTCACTTGGTAGCCCAGACTGGCCTCGAACTCACAGAGATCCGCCTGGCTCTGCCTCCCGAGTGCTGGGATTAAAGGCGTGTGCCACTACCGCCCGGCAAAATTTCTCTTTTTAATGTGAATTAAAGTATACCAAATGGAAAGTCTGTCAATGTTCAATAGAAATTAACCTCAGGTCAAATTCCTTGCCAAATTTTGTTATAAATTCATGTCTCTTAATAATTTTATATATAATAATTATAGTTACCTACATTTATTAAATACTTATTTACTTTGATACATTCATGGTACAAGCAAAAAATTTTGAAAGCAAAGGATATAAATTTTTTATCATAAAAACTTTTCTTTTTGACTCATTAACATATTCACTCTTTCTTCAACAGATGATGAATAAGGTTTTTGGAGGCACAGTGCATAAAAAAAGTGTTAGAGAAGATGGAGTTTTCAATATTACTATGGATAATACGTGCTCAATATTCAGGTATTATTTTTTAATTACATTTATTTAATTTTGTGTCCACTCATACGGGTATGCCATGGCATGTGTGTGTCAGAGAATGTCAGAGAACAGCTTGTGGGAGTTGGTTTTTGCCTTCCTTGGGCTTGTTGGCAGATGCCTTTACCAGCTCACCTATCTTGCCAATCCCATATATTTTATTAATAAACACATATACATTTTTTTGTTATTCTATTTGTGTGTGTGTGTGTGCACGTGCACGCACGCGTGGGTGCACATGCCATGGGGCATGTGTGGAGGTCAGAGGATAACTGGGAGTTGGTTCTCTACTTCCACCATGTGGGTTACAGGGGTCAACCATTTCCTCTTCATAACTAAACACCATTGTTTTTATTTTTGCACTAGAGCTCCACCTTGTCTGCTGGATTGTGCTTATTTCTAGGTGTTTTTGTTAACAGTCAGGCAATATGAATATATTTTAGAAAGATACAATCACTGTATATAATTATTTCTAATTAATATAAGAGATTATAGGATTTTTTATTAAATTTTTCATTTATTTTACATACCAACCACAGCTTCCCTTCCCTCCTCACTTCCTGTTCCCTCCCCCAACCTCCCATCTAACACCCCATCCACTCCTCCATTCAGAAAGGATAAGGCCTCCCATGGGAGTCAACAAAGCATCACATATCAAGTTAAGGCAGGACAAAGCTCCTCCCGCTGCATCAAGGCTAGGCAAGGCTTCCCAGCATGGGGAATAGATTCCAAAAAACCAGCTCATACACCAGGGACAGGTCCTGATCCCATTACTAGAGGCCCCACAAACAGACCAAGCTACACAGCTGTCACCCACATGCAGAAGGCCTAAGTCAGTCCCATGTAGGCTCCCTAGCTATAGGTCCAGAGTCCATGAACTCCCACTAGCTCAGGTCAGCTGTCTCTGTGGGTTCCCTTATCATTATCTTGACCAACCCCTTCCTCCCTCCTTTAACTGGACTCCTGGAGCTTGGCCCAGTGCTTGGGCTGTGGATCTCTGCATCTGCTTCCATCTGTTACTGGATGAAGGCTCTCTGATGACAATTAGGGTAGTTACCAATCGATTACAGGGGAAGGCCAGTTCAGGCACCCTCTCCACTATTGTTAGGAGTCTTAGCTGGGGTCATCCTTGTAGATTTCCTGGGAGTTTCCCTGGCACCAGGTTTCTCCCTAACCCCATAATGGCCCCCTCTATCAAGATGTCTTTTTAGTTGCTCTCCCTCTCCATCCATCCCACAACTTGACCATCCCGATCTCTCATGTTCCCATCCTCCATCCTCTCCCCTCTACACCTCCTCCCCCAAGTTTACCTAGGAGATCTCATCTATTTCCCCTTCCCAGGGCAATCCATGTGTGTCCCTCTTAGGCTCCTCCTTGTTACCTAACTTCTCTGGGTCTGTGGATTGTAGCATAGTTATCCTTTGCTTTGTGTCTAATATGCACTTATGAGTGAGTACATACCATGTTTGTCTTTCTGGGTCTGGGTTACCTCACTCAGGATGATTTTTTTTTTCTATTTCCATCTATTTGCCTGCAAATTTCATGATGTTATTGTTTTTTACCGCCGAGTAAGACTCCATGGTGTAAATGTGCCACATTTTCTTTATCCATTCTTTGGTTGAGGGGCATCTTGGTTGTTTCCAGATTCTGGCTATTTATTGTGAATAATGCTGCTCTGAACATAGTTGAGCAAGTGTCCTTGTAGTATGATTGAGCCTCCTTTGGGTGTATGCCCCAGAGTGGTATTGCTGGTTCTTGAGGTGGATTGATTCCCAATTTTCTGAGAAACCGCCATACTGATTTCCAAAGTGGCTGTATAAGTTTGCATTCCCACCAACAGTGGAGGAGTGTTCCCCTTACACCACATCCTCTCCAACATAGTTAATGCTTCTTACTCTTAAGCTTGATTGATTGATTGGTGTGTGTGTGTGTGTGTGTGTGTGTGTGTGTGTGTGTGTGTGTGTTTGAATGTATTCCATGAACGTGTATATCTGTTGAGACCAGAAGCAGGTGGGTCTCTTGAAGCTAGAGCTATAAGTAGCTGTGAGCCATCTGATGTGGGTAATGGGAACTGACTGTGGGTCCTCTGGAAGAGAAGTAAGTACTCTAAACCACAGAGCTATCATTCCAGCCCCATATCTCTTACTCTTAATCTGAAAATCTTGTTTACTGGTTACATAATAACCTGTATTTTACATATGTTTATACTGTACATATAGTTGCAGAATAACAGTATCAGTATCATTATTGATATGACTGAATTGTTAAGTCATTATTGAAGTATCTGTTCTGAAGATAAAATCTTAGAAATGAAATGTTGAAATCAGTTTTATTACCTCTGTAATTTTTTTGTTTTAGTATAATTAAGAGTATCAGGTTCATATATATTAGCTTTAGTTTTCAAGTTTAAATATTATTTGTTAGGTGTGTGTGTGTGCTGTATATGGTGTTTGTGTGGGTGGGTGTACCCACATGCGTGCATATATATAGAAGCCACAGAAGGATGTTGGGCACTCTACTCTTTTACTCTTTGCCTCATTCTCTTTGATCCAAGTTCTCTGACTGAACCTGGTGCTAGTCTGGCAGCCAGGAGATAGCTGTGACTTTTCCTGTTTCATTAACTCACAGGATTGGGGTTCTGTGTCCACATGTGGCTGCAACTGGCTTTTTATGTGGATACTGGGGATTTGAACTTGTATCCTCATGATTGTTTCAATACAGTGAGCTTTCTGTACAGCCCCTAGTTCTTAATTTTTATTAGTTGCCCCTTTTTGTTACTTAATATCCTTTATTGGCTTTATATATAATAGAATACATATAAATTCTAACAGTGTTGCATTGCTATGAAGCATGAAAAACCTGGAGTCAGATATCGAGGGTGAAAGCTAAAAGATTAGAAAAGCAGAGCAGCAACCACTAGAAATTTCTCACCTCTGTGAATCCTCAGACTGAATGGAGGGCCAAGATCCTGTCTCCACCTCCCTGGGATTAAAGGCGTGTACCACCACTGTCCAGCTCTGTTTCTCTTTTAGACTTGTTCAATCTCATGTAACCCAGGGTGGCCTTGAACTCCTGATCTTCCTGCTTCCTCCCAAGTGCTGGGATTAAAGGTGTGTGTCGCCACTGCCTGGCCTCTATGGTTAACTAGTGGCTAGCTCCACCCCCTGATCTCCAGGCAAGCTTTATTTGTCAGAACACAAACAAAATATCATACAACATTGCTACATAACTTTTACCCCCTAAATTTTCTTAATCTACCATTATAGCAAACATATTTCTAAACAAAATGACTGTCTTAGGGGTTACTATTGCTGTGATGAAACACAGTGAGCAAAGAAACTTGGAGCGAAGAGTTTATTCAGCTTAGGCTCCCACATCACTGTGATTAAAGGAAGTCAGAACAGGAGCTCAAGCAGATCAGGGACTTAGAGGGACTTAGAGGCAGGAGTTGATGTAGAAGCCATGAAGGAATGCTGCTTACTGGCTTGCTCCCTCTGTGTTGTGCAGCCTGCTTTCTTACAGAACCCAGGACAACCAGCCCAGGGGTAGCACCATCCATAACGGGCTGCATTATGGATTAACTTCCCCATTAGTCACTAATTAAGAAAATGCCCTGTAGGCTTGCTTCCAGCCTTCTGGAGACATTTTCTCAATGGGGGTTCCCTCACTCTGGTGACTCTACCCTGTGTCACTGTCACTTTTTCTCAATGGGGGTTCCCTCACTCTGGTGACTACCCTGTGTCACTGTCACTTTTTCTCAATGGGGGTTCCCTCACTCTGGTGACTCTACCCTGTGTCACTGTCACGTTGACATAAAACTCGCCAGGACAATGACATATTCATCATGGTTCTCATTGAGATATTTGTGTGTAAATTTAAAAATCTTTCTTTTTATATGTTTAGGGGCCTTCAGAAGGAAGAAATTGTTTTACTTACACATGGAGACAGTGTAGACAAAGTAGCTGATGGATTCAAGGTTGTAGCACGTTCTGGGAACATCGTGGCAGGTAAAAGTTCTAAATTTTGCACATTTCACTAAATTTTTAGCGTAGTCATGATTCTGTATGAGATACTTTTAAATAAGTCTTCATTTAAAATGTTTATTCATTTATTTTTTTTACATTTATTGTGTCTAAGGGTCAGAGGACCACTTAAGGGTTTTTTCGTCCCCCTGTTTGGATCCCACTGATTGAACTTAGTTTGCTGGGTTTGGCATCAAGTGCTTTTACCCACATGAGCCAGCTTGTGGACTCTTATTTTTTCATAGCTGTTGTCAATGTGGATCCATTATTAACCAAGGGAATTATTCCTAATCCACATAATGCTTTAAAATACTTAAATTAAAAACAGTTTATTCATATGAATGTATGTGTCTGTGTGTGAGCCCAAGAAGGCGAGAATAGTGAGAAAGAGAGGTTCAAGTGACTGCTTTCTGACTCAGGCAGGACAGCAGCAAAGGACCGTGCAGGTGAAAGTGGGTGTGGTTTAGGAGGAAGCTGTCACTGTGTGTGTGTGTGTGTGTCTCCTTCAAAGAATATATTAGATGTCAGAGGTTATTTACATTGAAAAAGCAAGCAGTAGTGAGCCTTAGTGTGATTAGTGATGCTACTGTTTTACCTAGATATTGAAGGAAGAGGTGAGGGCAGACAGAGGTACTGAGCTGGGGCTGTAGTGAGAAATCAAGTAGAATACACATGATCTGAGCAAGAGTAAGTCTGACATGAGCATGAGGTAGTGGGGTCTTTGAGTGACTGTAAGGCTTTTTGGCTTTATTCCTAGGTAGGTGGTGTTCTGAGTAAAGGATAGGCATGATCTAATTTCAGGATTATATTACCATGAGAAAAAAATAAACTAGGTCAGAGTACAAGCAGGAAGGCTGTGTATTCTGGTGATCAGAGGAGAAAAAGTGAAGTTTAGAGCAGGCTGGTAGAAGTGGACTAGTCACATCTTTGGATTGTGGTAATGCTCTGAATGGACAGACCAAAGGTTTGTTACTGGGTTGTATAGTGATATTTTGTTTGTGCTCTAACAAATAAAGCTTATCTGAAGATCAGAGGGTGGATAGGCATTAGTTAACCATAGAGGTCTGGAGGTCTGTATAGACAGGAGACAGGAAGTGATATGGCTGGGTAGAGAGAGGAATATAAGGTGGGCAGAGACAGGAGCTCTGCCCTTTTTGGTAGGAGGATTCAGAGAGGTAAGAGGTTACTTTGACTGCTCCTTTACTTCTCTGATCTTTTAGCATTTACCCTGATATCTGATTCTGAGTTTTTATTATTAAGACCAATTAGAATTCTTGCTGCAGGATTGAGTATGGAGTAGCAAGTAGTAAAAGAATCAAGTTTTAAATGCTGGGTTTTTTTTTTTTTTTTTTTTTTTTTTTTTTGCTCTAATAACAGATGGGTAGAATTTCTATTTGCCTAATGGGAAAGAACTCAGGGCTTTGGGTTTGCGCATGAAACTCAAGATGATTTATTAAACATCAAAACGAAGGTGTTTAGTAGGCAATTAATACATCTTGACTTCAGAGGAGAAATCTAGCCTTCAGGTATGTAGATGAGCCTAAGAATGGAATATTAGGATTATTAGAATGTGAGATCACTTAAGAGTTTATGGAGAAGACATTTAAGGGCCGAGTACTGGCAGTTTCCATATGTAGAGATAGGCTGGGAGAAGAGGGACCAGCGGTGAAGAGTAAGAAGGAGCAAACAATGAGATAAAAGTATACCAAGTGTGGGAGCCCGTTTTCGGGTTCCTCATGGCTTTACCCAGCCTGTCCGCATAAAGGATAATTAGGACCACAGGCCTGAGTGCTGGTGTCTGAGGTGGTCTGCACTTGGCTGTGCTGGGGGAGGAGGTCTTTTGCTCCACCCCTTGGCATCTCTATAAATACCCTGGGGCAGAGACAGTTGGGGCCCGTTGGAAAAGGTTCCAGGCCCTCTCGAGGCTATCCTTTATTTTCTATCTGTTTATCTCCACAATATTCTCCGCAATATAAATCCTTCTATCTAATATTTCATGCTGCTCACACTCAAGAAAACTCTGGGGAGCTGTGGGGTTGGTGGGTAAACACCCCACAACCAAGAGTGCTACCCTGGAAGCCAAATAAAGTCTAAAGTGCTCTGCCAGGCACGAGTTGGTTACTTAAGAAAGAGTTGAGGCGAATTCTTCTTTTTTTTTTTTTAAACAACTCATTTCTCTTTATTTTATGTGCATTGGTGTATGCGTGTATGTCTGTGGGAGGGTGTCAGATCTTAGAGTTACAGACAGTTGTTAGCTGCCATGTGGGTGCTGGGAATTGAACCCGGGTCCTGTGGTAGAGCAGTTGGTGCTCTTAACCACTGAGCCATCACTCCAGCCCCGAGTTGAGGCAAATTCTTGCTGCATGAAGCATAAAGTAAGGATAGTGATGCCCATTTAAAGCCCCTAGCCCAACACCTGTTGCTTGGCAGATGATTTGTTAAACCCTGTAGTGAAGTAGGTGAAATCATATAGTAAATATCCCTAATCTGAATATCTGAAATTGCCCACAATCCAAAACTATTTGATTACTAACTTGAAATCACAAGTTGCAAGTTTTTTGAGTGCCCCCAAATGGCAAGTTGTAGTCAGAATGCAAGTACACTTAAAATACTGTGTGATTTTAGACTACTTGTCTGTGATATATATCAGTGAATTTTATGTTTGTACTTGGGTCTCGTACAAAAAGTTAATACCAAAATATTTATGTGTGACCAAACTTTGTCTAAGGAGACACAGCATACACTTCTACTCGCCCCAAATAGGGAATTCATGACAGACCAAAGTATGGACACCATCAAAGTTCAGTTTAGTGAACCATTGAGTTTCACTGAGGTTACAGAAATATGAGTGAGAGGTTACTTATAAGAATAGAAATAACTTAGACAGCTGCATCACCAAAGCCTCATAAAACTGGGAACCTGGAGCACACTGCACACAGATTGTTGGCATCTCAGTAGGTTGGACAGTGCCTTTTGTAGGTTCCTAAATTGTTCTAAATGGCTGGCCAGGCCGCTGGGCTGGTTTCTGCTTCTTCCAGGCAGCTGGTCTAGTCTCAGTCCATTTGCAGCTCAGCCTCTCCCATCTTGGAGGGACTGCTTTCATTGCTTGCCCTGGCAGGTCTAGAGAATCTGGTCAATTTCAGGGACTTCCAAAGCTGTTTTGAGTTGTTTACCTTACTGCCTACAGAGCTTCCCTGAAGGGGGTGGAATGTTGTAATCTTGGAAACTGTTACACAAGGACCCCTTAAACGCTTCTGAACCGAGACATTTCTGAGTAGGGTTATTCAACCTGCATTTGTAGTTAATGGAACTCAAAAAAGAAATAATGGAAAATACTGAAAAGTTTAATGTATGAAGATTTTTTTTTTTAAATGTTGGGAATTGGGGGTTGCCAAGTATATGTGGAAGCCATTAGGACTGACAACCAAAACTGAGTTGTTCTCTATATTAAATAGATCAGAAAACCAAAGTAATGATAGAGAAGTGAGAAGCTAGTGAAATACTAGCTTCTGCCCTGTACTGCATACTTTATAAAGATTATAGCAATGTAGGTTTACTTATATATTTTCTTTCTCTGTAATTGAAAGTTGAATAAGGCATATTACATTTAACATAAGAGAGATTTTGAGGAATGGATCATGACTATTAGTTGTATATTGAACAAAAATTGTTTTGTGACTGTTTCTCCATGAAGGTATAGCCAATGAATCTAAAAAGCTATATGGTGTACAGTTTCACCCTGAAGTTGGCCTTACAGAAAATGGGAAAGTAATACTGAAGAATTTCCTGTATGATGTAGCTGGATGCAGTGGGACCTTTACTGTGCAGAACCGAGAAATTGAATGCATTCGAGAGATCAAAGAGAGAGTAGGCACATCGAAAGTATTGGTAAGCAGTTGATCACCTGGTGGTCTACAAACTTACGTTACAAATATTAGAAACCAGAGCTGGATTGCTTAGCCTTGTCAGCTGACAAGATACATATATAATGTGTGTATTACATCACTAAGAGTCTTTTTTCAGTTACTGTACATATCTTTAATATATACAACATTTTAAAGTAATTATACAAGGTGGTAGTATTTATTTTTTGTTTGTTTTTCCTGTTTGATTTTTTTTCCCCCTCATTTACAGGTTTTACTTAGTGGTGGTGTAGATTCAACTGTTTGTACAGCTTTGTTGAATCGTGCTTTGAACCAAGATCAAGTTATTGCTGTGCACATTGATAATGGCTTTATGAGAAAACGAGAAAGCCAGTCTGTTGAAGAGGCCCTCAAAAAGCTTGGAATTCAGGTCAAAGGTATTAGTTAATCATGAGAAGTTCATTTATACCAGGCATTATTTCTTCAAGCCTGGTTTTCCCTGTAAAGTCAAGGCTGAAAATACCTTTTAGTTCACATATATAATTTTCTCTGTTTCAAGAAGGTCCAATAGCTTCTTGGCCTTTTGACTAAGATCAAGTGTAGTATCAAGAAGTGTCCAATATAAAACTTAGATAATATTTACTGTTATACTAGGTTACTGAAATTGGTAAGTTACCATTTAGCATCTACTATTCTATTCTCTTCTGTCTTCCTCATCCTTTCAAAATCTCCCCTCCTTCCCTGATTTCATAACATTACTAACGTTATGTTATGCAAGTGAGTATCTAAGCTCTTCTACAAATACAGTTGTTTTGCACCCAAGCTCATACAGAGAATGGAGATTAAAAGTCTGTAATTAGCCAGACATGCTTGTTGTGTGCACCTGTCATCCTAGCTACTTAGGAGACTTGAGGCAGGGCAATCATTTGAACCAGGAGCTTGGAATTATCTTAGGCAACATAGCTAGACTGTAGGTACCTTAGTTGGTAAAGTGCTTCCCACACGAGCATGAGAACCTGAATTTATTTTTAGGACCCATATTCAAAAGCCAGATGTGTCTGCTTGCTTGTAATCCTCAAACTGGGAAGGTAGAGACAGGGTAATCCCTGTGCTTGCTGGCTAACTGGTCTGGCTGAACTAGTGAGCTCCACATTTAGTGAGAGACCCTATATTAAAAAATTGGTGAGGTATGATAGAGGAAGACACATAATGTCTGCATGCATACCTGAGTGCTTACAGACACACACACGCACGCACACACACGCACACACACACACACACACACAGTTTAAAAAAGATCCTCAATTGCTGTTACTCTTACTTATTTGTTTGTTTGGTTTTTTGAGACAGGGTTTCTCTGTGTAACAGTCTTGGCTACCTTAGAACTCGATCTGTAGACCAGGCTGGCCCTGAACTCACAGTGACCACTTGCCTCTGCCTCCTGAGTGCTGGGATTAAAGGTGTGCACCACCACCACCCAGCAATTTACTGTTACTTTAAAGGACAATGATGACTAATAAACTTATTTATTTACATTAATAAACTTTATTATATTTATGGATATTTCTTATTCTCTAAAAAAGGTATAAGTGGCTACAGTTATGGTATAGTAGACTAAATGCAACGTACATAGTTACATTATTAACTTAATTGGAATTGATGCTACAAGGCTGAGGTTAAGGTGATGACTCCTACCTTGTCACTTTCCTTTTTGAAGCATGACCAACTGCTGTCGCCAGAGTTTTCCTGCCTGGCCCACAGTCAGGACAAATCTCTCTCACCTGCCAGTCCCACAGCCGCTCAGACCTGACCAAGAAAACACAGAGACTTATATTGGTTACAAACTGTATGGCCGTGGCAGGCTTCTTGCTAACTGTTCTTACAGCTTAAATTAATCCATTTCCATAAATCTGTACCTTGCCACATGGCTCGTGGCTTACCGGCATCTTCACATGCTGTTTGTCATTGTGGCGGCTGGCGGTGTCTCTCTGACTCAGCCTTCCACTTCCCAGCTTTATTCTCCTCCTTGTCCCGCCTACACTTCCTGCCTGGCTACTGGCCAATCAGTGTTTTATTTACCAACCAATCAGAGCAACACATTTGCCATACAGAACATCCCACAGCAAACTGCAAAGGCATAAACAGGCCCAGTGACACAAGGAGAGGGAATAAGCAAATAGAAGAAGAACACTAGGTCGTCAAATGCAGGTGTCTGAGGGGGATTCTCTCGGATAAGCTAATGAAGTTTAACTTTGAAGGGCCCTCACTAGTCATTCTTCTTCCAGAGTCCCAGCTGGGACCTAGCAGGGTCTTCACAGGACTGTATAGTTTGGGAATTTATAACTAAGGTCTTCTCTCTCTCTCTCTCTGCAACTAGAGGTTGATAGCTTTAATTTCCTCTTTGCAGTCTAGTTGTCTCTGTTGTGTGGGGTTTACTGTAAACATTTTGAGGGCAGGCTGAGGAAGAGTTGGCCTGGAGATGCCTTTAGTTTTAGTTTAGTATTGTTTGTAGTAACCATTTTTGTATACAGTCAAATTCTTGTTACTGCCCTACTTGCTTTAAAGGGAGCTCCTAAGGGAGCCTTCCTGTTAGAGAAATTTTAATGATAAAAACTTGGATCAGGAGAATTTAAAGTCTGGGCTAAAGTGGGAAGGGAGCCAGTAAGAAACAAGCTGATGTAGGCTGCAGAGTTCTAGGGAGGTTTAGGAAGTAGGAACATTGGATTGTGGGAGGAATGAGTCTCTGTGTGTGCCAGGAGCAGGAACTATTTGAAAACATGGGAAGCAGATGGTTTTCCTTAATGCAGAGCATGCTGCTACTGTCCTGACCTGAAGAAAGCTGAGGGCTTCCTAAGAGACCTTGGACTTGCAACACTGGCACCAGTAGTTGAGGTTAGAGGTGCTACTCTAGAATAGAAACAGAACTCGGCTACATTGAAGGTGATTCCCTCCTTCCCTCTTTTGCTCTGTTCACCTGTACGAATGTTGGTAGGCAGGGGCTTGAGGGTAACACACTAGGTTAAGAGAAGGGCCTACAGGTCTTGGATGGACCCTGATTAAAATAGCAGGCTGCTTCATCATCTCATGTTGACGCATATCAGCAGTTATGCTCTGCTACCAGATAGTGGTCGTAGTTTCTTCCAGAATTCCTTACCTGCTTCCCATTTGCCAGTACTGGGAATTAAACCCAGGGCCTTGTACACACTAGGCAAACACTTTGCATTGAACTAGCATGATTTTTTGGTCTTATGTAATAATAAATACAGAGATATCCAGGTAATTGTAAATGTATAGGTAGCAGTTTTTAAAGAAGCTGGTTAGTGTGCTGTTCTGTGAGGACTTTGGTTTTCTGTGGAGGAGCCACTGCATTTGACTGTGTTAGGGCCATATGTACTGTATATGTATATATAACAAGTGTTGACTTGTTCTATGGAACATTGAATAGAGGGAGAGCAACCAGTACCATTGGCAGTGGTGTGGTCTCATATCTAAATGCTACCGAGTTCTCTTAATGAATTCCCAAATCTGAACTCTTGCCTGGTTTATTGCTGGTTTTTGAACATATGGGCAATGTAAGGGATCTCAAAGGGTCCATCTTGGTTTTCTTTCTATGCCTTGACATATTTATGATGTAAAGAAATATAATAGTTTAAAATACTTCTTACATCTCTCCCAGTGATAAATGCTGCTCATTCTTTCTACAATGGAACAACTACTCTACCAATCTCAGATGAAGACAGGACCCCACGAAAAAGAATTAGCAAAACATTAAATATGACTACAAGTCCTGAGGAGAAAAGAAAAATCATTGGTGATACTTTTGTTAAGGTACTTTTCTTTCTTTCTTTCTTTCTTTCTTTCTTTCTTTCTTTCTTTCTTTCTTTCTTTCTTTCTTCCTTTCTTCCTTTCTTCCTTTCTTTCTTTCTTTCTTTCTTTCTTTCTTTCTTTCTTTCTTTCTTTCTTTCTTTCTTTCTTTCTTTCTTTTTCTTCCTTCCTTCCTTCCTTCCTTCCTTCCTTCCTTCCTTCCTTCCTTCCTTCTTTCCTTCCTTCCTTTCTTTCTTTTTTGGAGATGGGGTTTCTCTGTATCCTTGTCTGTCCTGGAACTAGCTTTGTATACCAGACTGTCCTCAAACTCAGAGATCCACCTGCCTCTGCTGGGATTAAAGGCATGCTGCCACACCTGGCTAAGGTACCTTTCTTTTAATGTGTGCAATGTTTACTGTTTATCAACAAAATTGGCTAATTTTATTTTTTAAGATAAACGTAAAGTGGGTGGGGGCAGGGTGAGGTCTGTGTCCTATTTGCATCTTTTGATGTAAAAAGTGTGCATGTTGCTAAGCTGGTGTTTTAGATATTTAGGAATGGACCTTTCTGCTAGCACTGTGCTTCTATTGGGTTTACCAGTGACCATATTCAGGGAGTACTGAAGAGAATGTTCACATATATTTTTGAATCATACAATGTACATGTTTTAAGAAATTTGTTTTTCATGGTTTGATATTTTAATTTTCTGTTCGGTACTGCAAAGACTCAAATTTCATTAATTTTGTTAAAAAGATTGATTTCTTAGAAGACTGTTCTGTTTTTGTTGGTAACAGATTGCCAATGAAGTAATTGGAGAAATGAGTTTGAAGCCAGAGGAGGTTTTCCTTGCCCAAGGCACTTTACGGCCTGATCTAATCGAAAGTGCATCCCTTGTTGCTAGTGGCAAAGCTGAACTCATCAAAACCCACCACAATGACACGGAGCTTATCAGAAAGTTGAGGGAAGAGGTAAAGGCTGTGAGAACTTTTCCAGGATGTGTGTGTCTCTCTGTGTGTGTGTGTGTGTGTGTGTGTGTGTGTGTGTGTACATACACAGACACAGGGCATTTTCCTTTCCCCATCCTTTCTTTCTTCTTCCCAGTACTGCACAGTTGACTAACCATCTCCACAAAATAATTCTATTACCCTCAGAAGGAACCCAGTGTATCTTGTGCTCATTAGCAGTCATTCTTCATTCTGACTCTACCCCACTCCGTCTCCCTGTCAACTCTAGACAACCACACTGTCCACTAGGGTTTTTTGTTTTGTTTGTTTGTTTGTTTTCATTTTTTGAGACATGGTCTGTATGTAGCTCTGGCTGGCCTGGAACTTGCTATGTAGATCAGGCAGGCCTCAAGCTCAGCTATCTACCTGCCTCTGCCTCTCACATGCTGGGATTAAAGGCTACTATGCTTTTCAGACCACTAATTTCTGCTTCTGTAGTTTTCCTCATTTTAGACATCTTGTTTGTGGCCTTTTATGATTGGCCTTTTGCTTTGCTTTTAAAAAGATGGTCTCATGTATCTCCTGCCTCTAACTTGTTATATAGCTGAGGCTGACTGGTGACCCTCTAGCCTCTACCTCCTGAGTGCCATAATTTAGAATATATTTTCAAGGTTCATCTATGGTGTAATTTAACTTATTCCTTTTTATAGCCAAATAATATTTCATTGTGTATATGTGTTCACATTTTTAGTTGGTGGACATTGCTCTTTTGGGCTGTTAGAAATGATGTTATGAATATTGGTTACAAATGCTTGTAAACATGCATTTTCTTCTAGTGGACACCTGGGTATAGAATTGCTAGAGTAGCACAGTGTGACGGTGCAACCCTGTGAACCCATCACTCAGGAAGTCTAGGCAGGAGGATCCAGATTTGCATGGTCATCTTCAGCTACATACCAAGTTAAAATCCAGGATTATAGATGTTTGAAAAACAAATAATTCTTAAATCATACAATGACTCTTTAACATTTTGATTTCCTGCCAGACTGTTGTCCAAAATGCTGAATTTATACATTCCCACTGCAAAGAGTTAAAAGTTCTCATTTTCCATGTCTTATCAAGACTTATCGGTCTTTTTAAAAATTGTTGTATAAAACATAAGATAAATCCCATCATCTAGAATAGAATAGTAGAAGCTCTCTAACTTGCTGTGTTTGCAGAACTGAAACTTACCCACCAAACGCCTTCCCTTTTGTTCCTGCCCTACTGCCTTATAACCACCCTTTCACTTTAAGTTTCTGTTTGACTGCCTTGTGTACTTGATGCAGTGGGATTGTACAAAAGTGTCTTCCCTTTCTTCCTCTTCAGGATTGTCTTGTCGTTACTAGCTTATTTCATACTTTGCCTACTGTCCTTTAGGTTTAATGTTGTGTACTGTATGGTGGGATTGCCTTCTTTTCAAAGGCTAAGTAATACAACATTGCATGTGTATACCATGTTTTGTTTATTTAATTACTCATCAGTGGGCATTTGTGGTACATCCATCATTTGGATATTGTGAGTTTTGCTATGAACACAGGTATACATTTAATGCTTCAAGAGCTGACTTTTAGTTCTTCAATATACATACTTAGCACTGGCGGTTCTGTTTTTAATTTTCTTTTGTGGACCCTCCATGTTCTCCATAGTAGTTGCACCTTTTTACTTTTTTAACCAAAAGTACCACAGGAGTTGCAGTTTTTGTATATTCTGACCACCATGTGCTGCCGTGGATATTGCTCTGTATAAATAAACACTGATTGGCCAGTAGCCAGACAGGAAGTATAGGCGGGACTAACAGAGAGGAGAATTGAGGGAACAGGAAGGCAGAAGGGGAGACTGCTAGAGCCGACGCCAGGACAAGGAAGATGTAAGGTACCAGTAAGTCACGAGCCACGTGGCAAAGTATAGATTAGTAGACATGGGCTAAATATAAGAGTAAGAGCTAGACAATGATAGGCCTGAGCTAATGGCCAAGCAGTTTAAATAATATAAGCGTCTGTATGTTTATTTTATAAGTGGGCTGAGGAACTCCCGGGGCTTGGCGGGACCCGGAGAGAAAACTCCAGTTACAACGTGCTATTTTGTATTTAATAGCTATCCTAATTTTTGTGTTGCTGCTGATTTTGGTTATCCTTGAGATGTAAGATCTCTGCTATTTTTTTGTTCTTTGAGAAAGGATCTCCATGGTTTTGAATGTGCTCTCTCCCCTTACCTCGGCCTTCCCAGTACCGTTTGCGGATGTGCACTGCCACACTTAAGCTCATCGTGGTTTGGCTCTTCATTTCCCTATAATAATGTACAGAATCTTTTCAAGTGCTATTGGTCATTTGTATATCTCAGAGAAATGTCTGTTCATATCCTTTGCTCATATACTGAGTTTTAATTTAATATGAGAATTATTTTTTCCTGGGGCTGGAGAAATGGCTCATCACTTAAGAGCATTTGACTGCTTCCAGAGGACTGGAGTTCAGTTCCCAGCACCCACATGGCAGTTCACAATCCTCTATAACTCTAGTTCCAGGAGATCTGATGGACATACAAGCGATGCATGTACATACATGCAGACAAAATACCTACGTTGGCGGACTTTTCCTGTCCTGACCGCTTGCTCCCAAATAACCAGCAGCCACTTCCCAAATAACTGACTTGGAGACTTAATATCAATTATAAATGCTTGGCCAAAAATAGCTCAGGCTTGTTACTAACTCTTACAATTTAACCCATTTCTGTTCATCTATGTGCTGCCCCAAGACTCATGGCTTTTCTCTGTTTCATTTATGTGACTTGTTCTCCCTTTCACGACTCCTCTGACTCCGCCCTTCCTCATCCCAGCCTTCTCAGTTTGGCTCTCCCACCTAACTTTATCCTGTTCAGCTATTGGCCAGTTGGCTTGTTTATTAAACCAGTCATAGTGACATGTATTCAGAGTGTACAGAAGGATTATTCCACAGCATACCTGTATACATAAAATAAAATATATATATATTTCTTCCTATCATTTTTTTGATACCATTTAGAAAAGTCTTTTTTTTCCCCTTGTTTTTGATTTGTTTTTTTGGCAGGCTTTCTCTGTGTAGATCAGGCTGGCCTAGAACTCATAGAGATTTGCCTGCCTCTGCTTCCCAAGTGTTAGGATTAAAGATGTGTACCACCATACCCAGCTCATTTGAAAAATTAAACACTAGCATTAATTTTCTCAGTTGTCTTCTGTGTCCTATGAGAAATAGATGAGAGCTGGTGGGTTTTCCCAGATTTTTGGTTTTTTTAAGATTTTCTTTTTTCCATGTTTGGATATTTTGTCTGCATGTATGTCTGCATCAGTGAGCCATTTCTCCAGCCCTCAAATCTGTTTTTCTCTATAAGACTTTCAAGGCTTATATTTAAAAATGTTTTACCAAAGAGTATGAATGCCGCTAAAATGCTCATCTAATTCCTTCTAAGCCTCATAGGAAAAAATATTTTAAATGATAAAGTCTACTCTTTTAATTGGTCCCTTTTTCTCTTTGTAGGGAAAAGTAATAGAACCTCTGAAAGATTTTCATAAAGATGAAGTGAGGATTTTAGGCAGAGAGCTTGACCTGCCAGAAGAATTGGTCTCCAGGCATCCTTTTCCAGGTAAAAATACACTTAGGTTTTGTTTATTTGTAGACCTTGTGGATTTAGTTCAGGCCACTGAATCGTTTGTCTTTTTAGGGACTATGTGACGTGACAGAAGGGAACAAATTCTTTGAAGTGCCTACTGTATTTATGCCAGTACATGACTCGTTCTCTTTTGTGTTTGTGTTTAGATACTGTACGATTCCTGGGAGTCTGGCATGTAACGTTGCTGTCAGATGAGGCGGTGGAGCATAGAGATTTTAATAACATTTCTATATAATTCTTAGTTGTAGATTAGGGTTTTTATACCGGAAATACTGTGTGTATATATGTCATGTATTCCATGGAAAGAAGAGAGAATTAAAACTTGTGCCCCTCCTCACCTGCCTTTTAAAGTCTCTTAAAAAAGAATATGTTCTATTAAAAAGCATTGCATTCCCCTCCCCCTTACCCCCCAGGTTCTTGGATGGCCTGGACTCAGGCGTTTCCCTACCTCAGCCTCATGTAGACACTGCCAACTCCTTTCTCTTAAGTTTTCTTATGCATCTTGTTGAATGGAAGAAGTATTTCATTCATATGTAAAGCACTCTTTGCACTGTGTTTGTTCTGTGTAACTAATTCATGGACATCAAGAAAGTTTTAAATAATTATTTGCTATACTAGAAAAAATAGTGATATTTAAAGGTAGCATTATGACTCTTGATCTGTTTTATTTTGAGATGGTTTAAGATGTAAACCTGTTTTAACTCTCTGTAATAGGTGATGGAAGAATGGTCTAATTAAAAACATAGTAATAATACCCCAGCATGGAGGGCACATTCCTTCAATCCCAGGACTTGGGAGGCAGAGACAGGCAGATCTCTATGAATTGAAGGATAACCTGGTTTACATACCAAGTTGTAGGCTAGTTAGGTCCATGTAGCAAGATCTTGTCAAAAAATAAGGGCTAGCATTTTGGAAGTACCATGTGATGTGACACACACCACTAAATGTTCTTAAAATACTGTCTTATTTGATCCTCTCACACACACGAAAATAATAATCTTGTTTTATGGTTAAGAAAACTTATGTTTGAGGGTGGTTCCAAAAGTTAGGCAGAAAACACCATTTTAGAGTTTTTACTCTTAACTGCTACATTGCCTTCATAAAACAATGTTAGAAATAATTAGCACTTGATAGAAAAATCTAGTAATTCAAGATCTTCAGTCCCTAAGTGTATGCTGGCAGAAGATGGTGGGTGCAAGTTGGCCCTGTGCCTCTGGTCATCATTTTAGGTAGGCTTATGTGATACTTTTTTTTAAATCAGGTGAAATTTCATTGGAAAACACACTTTAGCTGCTTTAAAAACTAATCTTGTTGTTTATTCTAAAACTAGGAATGAGACTGAGGGCAACTAATGGAATATGGCTTACATTTTGCTTATAGACATCTCAAGTGACTTTTTTTTTCCATGTTGTGTAGCAAAACAACAAAATTTGTTCATGCCTTTTGTTTACTCTTTTAGTTTTTTTGTAAGATTTATTTTTTTTATGTGTTTTGCCTGCATGTATGTGTGTGCACCATGGGCATGCCAGGTGCCTAAAGAAGTCAGAAGAGGCATCAGACAGAGCCCCTGTATGTGTGGTGTTAGGAATTGAAATCCAGTCCTCTAAAGAGCAATAGTACTTTTAACTGCTGAGCTGTCTCTGCACCCTGCCACTCATCCATCCATCCATCCATCCATCCATCCATCCATCCATCCATCCATCCATTTATTTAATGGCTTGCATAATTGATAACTAGAAGTGGTAGCTCATATCTTGACATTAAGCAATATTTTCACTTTTTAAAAAAATTTTAAATAGTATATGAGTTAAGGTGCTTCATTATTTTTGTTTACATTTATATATGATGGAAAATTCCCTTAATAAAGAGATTTTCAGTAAATTGGCACATTAGTGTTAATGAAAATATTTCCTGGTGAAAATTTTTGTGAGAATATATAGGTTAGGAAATTGGGATGAGGAAATTAATACCAACACTTAAAATTAAATGCTTTGTGTGTATTTTTTTGGTTTAGTTTGAGATTGAAGCCCAGGTCCTTGTACATCCTAAACATTGGCTCGACTAAAGAACTACATTCTCAGACTTGAAATTTAGTGCTAGGAGTCAATTAAAATTAAATACCTTGTGTTTATTTAAAGGGTTTTATGTTTTAGAGTTAGTGTCCATTTTCTATTAAAATTGTAATTATAAAGTTTATGCTCAAAATTGTTGTTCTGTAGGTCCTGGCCTGGCAATCAGAGTAATATGTGCTGAAGAACCTTATATTTGTAAAGATTTTCCTGAAACCAACAATATTTTGAAAATAGTAGCTGATTTTTCTGCAAGTGTTAAGAAGGTAATAATTGACTTGACATGTCTAGTCAATACAAAGAACAAAGTAGATGGCTGTTAATATTCTTGCTTTAAAATGAATTTGTTTTTGAAAATTCAAAACAATACTTACTTGTAGTGACTGTGTAGAAAGCATGACATGGAGAGTACTAGGAAGAGCTGTCTATTTAACCAAAGAAGACTGCATATCCCCTGTCCTTCAAAGCTCTTGGGACCCTTTTCCTCCTACTTAACCCAGCCCTGATATGTACTTAGTCATACTGTAACCTTATGCTCTGTTCAGTTGATATCCCTGGGAGGCCTGCTCTTTTCTAAGGGAAATGGAGGAGGAGTGGATCGTGGGGAGAAGAGAAGGTGGTGGGGAGATTGGGAGAAGTGGAGGGAGGTGAAACTTTGGTTGGGATGTATTGTATGGGAGAAAATAAAAACAGAAAGCAAACCAAAAGCAAGGTGCTCAGTGCTTAGAGGGTTGACTATGGTGCAGGCCAAGCTGTCGTAAAAACTAGAGCAAATAAAGTCATTTCTAGATGAGAGCATTCACTACCAATAGCCCTTGACTTGAGAAATTGAAGGCATTGCTTTTTCCTAATGTTCTGAAGTAATCTGAAGGAGATGAAAATTTGTTCTTTTTATTCCTTTTTTAAAAATAAGCTTTATTTAAAAAATGAAGTCCATGAAATACAAATTAACTTCATGTATTTTTTGATTACTTGTGTCTGTTACCTGCATTCAGTCCTTCCTCATCTCTACTATTTAGCCTTTCTTGGAGCAGAGAACAAGAAAGCCTAAGTGTAAATACTAATTGTTTTATAAGACATAGTCATGTTCCTCTACCTTTTTTTCCCAAGTGCTAGGACTCCAGGTGTGTGCCACATTTGGCCCTAAGGGAGCTTTTGAAGTGTCTACTTGCCCATCTCTAGAATTTCTGACATTGTTAGTCTGGGGTGTGTAGCTGTGGTTGAGAAGTACTGCTAAGGCACTGGCTTTAGGAAAAGCAGTGAGATAGAAGATCTTCAATGTGCAAGAGGGATTGGTGAGCAAATACAGTTATAAATGAGTAAAGTGGACACAAACATGGACTTCATAAAATAGTTAACTACAGTAATATATTTATTACTGTTTAGAACCTAACAAAATATAAAGCATTAAAAACAATTGTATTGCCAAAAGGACAGAAAGGTCAATTCTTTTTCAGTGTCCATGTTCATACTTAAAGGGAACTGTATGAATAGAAATCAAGGATTTAACTTCAAACCCATAAAGGAGAAATAAATGAGCTAGGAGAAATAAATGAGTTGGGAGAATCACCAGTTCAAAAGAGAACAAAGGGGGAAAATAATATAAAATGGGAAAAAATGGGTGATAGGAAAGTAAAAATCTCAATGTATGTAAATTTAATTTATATTTCTTATCCCAGAAATTTCTAGTGTAGTATGTAGCACACAGCACATACTACATGATATGCTGTTAAAATCTAATTGGTATAAGTACATAAGACTATGAAGGCCTTATTTCTTACAGCATGAAAAAAAATGTCTGTTTGGTTTTCTCAGCCTCATACACTGTTACAAAGAGTCAAAGCCTGCACGACAGAAGAGGACCAGGAGAAGCTAATGCAAATTACAAGTTTGCATTCATTGAATGCTTTCTTGCTGCCAATTAAAACTGTGGGTGTGCAGGTGAGTTAAGTGGGTTTACTCACTAGGATGGAACTTCCTGCTGTTTGTCTTCACAAAGTTTGAATTTGGAGTTACTTTGGAAAATTAATTGTGAAATTATATTCCAGGTTTAGAAAGATAAAAAAGTTTTATAGGTGGTTATGGAGTGAATGAGCTTTTAAGAACTGAATGCTTAGGCCAAGATTTTGTAGTTTTAGAACTTTTTTTTTCCCTTCCCACCAAAAGTAAAAATTTCAGAGAACCATTTACTTCACGGTTGGCTGATATATTTCTCTTTGAGAAGCAGGACCAAAAGGTCAGGTCCTTATTTATTATCTGGACACTTAGGAGATCTACTGTGGCTTGAGAAGTCTTTCTTTAGCTGCAAGAAGGTATCAGATGGATATGTACATGTTTAGCTTGTGGTCTGCAAGCCTTTGTGATTAAAGACTGACTAAAACAACACAAAAACATAATCTTACTTAAAGCACTGAGATTTTACTATGGTTTTTTAAAAGTTATTTTTAATTTTTGTGTATGTGTACACACTGATTTATCGCAGTGTGTGTACACTCATATGCCACAGTGTGTGTGTGTGTGTGTGTGTGTGTGTGTGTGTGTGTGTAGATGAACTTTTGGCTGTCAGTTCTCTTTCCATGTTGTGGAGTGGGGTCTGTTGTTTCTGCCACATTTCATACTTCAGGACCACTGGACTGTGAACCGAGTGATTCTCCTCTCTCTGCTTCCCATCCCCCGTAGGAGTACTTAGATTACACATGCATCCTGCCATATTTCTTTCTTTCTTCATGTGACATGGATTCCAGGGCTTGAGCTGAGGTGGTTAGGCTTGGGTGGTGAGCCACGTTACCTGCTGACCCATCTCAGCTGCCTGTGCTTTTGTTGTAATTTAATTGTCTGTAATTGGAATCTTAGCTTTGTCGATAACTACTATTGTGCTGCAGTGTCAGAGGCTGGATATGCCTGAATGTTGTAAGGTGATCAAAGATTATATAGGCCCAATATCATCTCATCTTTGTGCATCTCTTGTTAGCTGTGATCCATAGCTTTTTCAGTTACTTTTCTGCCTTTCTAGTTGTAAAAGCATGTGAGGATAATTGTAGTTAGGTTTTAGAATGCTGTTCATGAAATGACCACATTAAGTTTGACATGACCCTTCAGGAAGTTTCTGGTCATAAGAAGTTAAAGAAGCCTTCTGTGCTGTTACTTTGTTCAGTGAAAACTAGAAAAATAGCAGTAGCTCAAAATGGTCCTTCCCCTTCTAGTTTTCCATTGTGTGCAGAGGGTCATCCTCATCAGCAGGAATCACAGCAGAGGGTATGGTTTCATTAAAGATGGTTGCCATTGTGCTGGCCAAGCATTTAATAGTGTCCTTTTATAGTAGAATTATTTATAGGAACATATTATTTTACTATTTTGTCTAACGCTAAAGCATACTCTGTCTTAAATGCATTGGTCTGGATTTTAAATCCTTTATTGAAATACATGTATAGTTTTCATATTGAGCTTTCATATGGTGGCTCAGGTAGAAAAGCATATGCTCCCAAGTCTGATGATGAATTCAAACCCTGTAATCCAAATGGTCGAAGAGAAGAACCAACAAACTCCTGAAAGCTGTGTTCACATGTAGATAAACATGAACAAAGCTAACTTGTTAGAGCTGATGAGCCAGTTTGGGTTACAGAACACTTGTCTAGTTTTCCTTTCTTTTAAAAGGCTGCACCTGTACCTTAATGTTTTTAAATGACTATGAAGGATTCTTGGAAATTGTGTGACTGATTTTTTTTTTTCAGTGGCTTATGGATAAATTTATCATACATAGGTTTATTTTAAGGTTTTCTCTGACATTTACAGGCAAATGCCTGCAATATAAAAGTAAAAGTGTAGACAGGTTTTAAACTTTTCTCAGTTCTTATGTGACACATGGTGTTCATTCTCACCACAGTTAACAATAGTAGTAAAAATTTACATTTCTAAGAGAGTCTACTCAAGAACCTGAAGGATTTGCAACTCCTGCTAGATAGGGTATTGAGTTAAAATAGTTACCCATTATGATTTTTTTCAAAGAAGTTTTTAATTGTTAAGATAATACTCATTTGAGGCATTTGCTTGATGACTGATTTCTTTTTAAAAATTATTTAATATGATTGGGTGTTTTGCCTGCATGTATGTCTGCACTGCTTGAATTCAGTATCCTCGAAGGCCAGTAGAGGGAGTTGGATTCCCCTGGAACTGGAGTTACAGATGGTTGTTAACCTACATGTGGGTTTGGAAACTGAGCCTGGGGCCTTTGCAATAGCAGCCAGTGCTCTTTAACCACTGAACCATCTTTCCAGTCCTTATTTCTGTTTTGAAATGAAACTTAACTGGGTATGATGGTTCATGCCTGAGATCCCAGCCCTTGAAAAGCTGAGGCAGGAGGATTGCCATGAATTTGAAGCTGATCTGGGCTACGAAGTTAGATTGTTTCAATAAACTCCCCTCCCCCCAACCCCCCCGAAAAATGAAAATTTACTCAGGCTCTTCTAATGTTTTGTTTTGGTTTTGGTTTTTTTTTGAGACAGGGTTTCTTTGTGTAGTTTTGGTGCCTGTCTTGGATCTTGCTCTGTAGACCAGGCTGGCCTCGAATTCGCAGAGATCTGCCTGGCTCTGCCTCCCGAGTGCTGGGATTAAAGGCGTGCGCCACCACTGCCTGGCTTCTAATATTCTTAACAAAGTTAAGTTGCCTTAGTTGTTAGCTACCCAATGTTATTGTTCAAGTAACCTTACAGGCCCAGATAAAAGTCACATGTTATGATTATTCTGGCATAGGTCTAATTTTTTTCTAAATGCCAAAGTAAACTGTCCTTGCTGGAAAAAAAAAATGTAAATACTTTTAAAAAATCTTGTGTATTTTGGCTACTGAGATATTGTGTATGTGCCTCTAGAAGTAAGCTGGATGTCTAAGACAGTATTGTAGCTACATGCTTCTTGCCCCTCTCAAATCACAGTCCTTCATATATAAGAGAGACAGGGGGTGGGGGTGGGGAGATTCTTTACGTGAGAGGAAACATGCCACATTTGTCTCTGGATTGGTTTGAATAACGTAAAGATCTTCAGTTTCATACATTCCTGAAAATGTCATTGTTTCATTCTTCGTTATAATAGAATAAAATACCATTGTGTGTAAGTATCAATTATTTATCCATTCATCATATGGGTTACTTCTGTACTTGGCTATTGTGCATTGTAGATCAGTAAACACTGTTGTGTGAATATCTCTGTGGTATTGCTGAGACACGATTTCTCTGTGTAGTGCTGGAATTCACTTATCAGGCTGGCCTTGAACTCATGTAGATCTGCCTTCCTCTGCCTCCCAAGTGCTGGGACTAAAGGTGTTCACCACCCACTCCAGGCTCTTAATATAGTTTCAAAAGTTGGGTTTAACTGATAGCAGAGGACTTTGAACACCTTTTTGAATATTTACTAGTGATTGTAATTTTCTAAAAATTGAATTCAGTAACTCGTTTACTTAGTGGCTGATTTGTGTGTGTATGTGTGTGTGTGGTGTTGTACTTAAGATTTTCTACCCCATTCCATAAGCTGTTTATTCACACTACTTGTTTCCTATACTGTATAAAAGCTTTTAAATTTAATGTAGTCCTGTTTGTCAGTTCGTGCGCATTATTGCTCATGTGTTGGAGTCATTTTCAGAAAGTTCTTGACTGTCCATGTAGCCACTTTGACAGGATTATTTTGCAAGACTGTACACATGGATGGTCTTTCCACCTGTTAGTGTCATCTGTTTCTTTGTTCTCTTCATTCTCATTGTGGATGTCCTTTATATATATTCCTGCTTAGTTTTGTTCCTAGGTATTTATGCTCTTTTGGAGTTACTGTGAATGGGTCAGTATTGTCATCCCCATGACCCAACTCCCTATCCCTGATTTCTTAGTCAACAAGTTTATTATTAGCATATATAAAAAAGCTACTGATTTTAATGTGTTGGTTTTATATCCTATTACTCTGCTGAAAGTGTTGATCAGATCTGATAGTATTCCAGTAGTCTCATGGTCTTTTCAGTATTGGGTCATGTCATCTGCAGGTAAGGATAATTTGACTTCTTCCTTTCATGTTTGTGTTCCTTTTATTTCTTTCTAGTGTCTTTGCTAGAGGTTTGCAATATGTCTTAGTTACTTTTTTATTGCTCTGAAGAGACACCAAGACCAAGGCAACTTATGTAAAAAAAAAAAAAAAATGGACTTGTTTACAGTTTGAAGGGGTGAGTCCATGACCATCATAGTGGAGAGCATGGTAGCAGGCATGGCCCTGGAGCAGTAAGTAGCTAAAAGCTCACATTTCCTTCATATCCAGGAGGCAGAGAGAGACTGGGCCTCTCATGGGCTTTTGAAATCTTTAAGCACACCTCTCCAGTGACACACCTCCTCTAACAATGCCACACCTCCTAGTCTTTTCCAGAAAACAGTTCCTTCAGTTAGGAACCGAGCATTCAAATACATGAGTCTAGGGGTCTGGGGGTCGTTCTCATTCAAACCACCATATCATATATAAACTTTATTTCAATGAAGTATATTCCTTCTATTGCTAGTCTCTTCAGAGATCATGAAGGGATTCTTTGTTAAAAATTAAAACTTTCTGTATCAGTTTAAGATACTCATGTGATTTCTGTCCTTGGGTCTATTTTCTTATGTTTGTCTCTTGATCTTATGTCTAAGAGTTGCTTAACATCGTCATGCTCTTTTTTATTTCTTTATTGGTGTTTGAATATAGTACTTCTCAGGCTTGTCCACCTTCTCTCTTATTCTGCTTGGCTAAGTCTGTTGGTGATACTTTGTGCTGTGTCTTTTATTTGATTGAGTTTGTCATTACCATCATTTCTAGTTGGTTTACACATCATTTCCTTATTGAGTATTTCTTCCTTACTGCTGACTTCTTCGTCCATTTTCCTGGCTTCTTCCTCTATGTTGAGTACTTCCCCCCCCAGATGGAATTCTGTCAGCATGTCTTGAGGTCATTGATCATTTATATTAGTTGATTTTGAGATCTTCATCTGGCATTTCATCTCTTTCAGTACCTTTGTGTTCAGCAGGTGAGGAGTCTGGATCTTTTTGGAAGATTTGTGTTGCCTTTTTCGTATTTCTTTCCTCCCTGTGTTGTATTTATATATGTGTTTGTTGGTTTGGCATCTCTTCTTACTGAACAGCCTCGTTTGTTTTTGTTTTGTTTTGTCTTTTTTTGGGGGGTGGGTGGGACGAAGGGACTCGTAAAGTCCAGGCTGGCCTTAGACTCTATATGCAATGGAGGCTGTACTTGAACTTGCCATCTCCTACCTCTACTTGCAAATGCTGGGATTACAAGAAAGTGCCAGCACACTTGGTTGAGCAACCTACTCTTGAGGGCTCTACCCTTAGTACCACTTAGAGAAGAAAACAAACTGCTTTATGAGTATTAACATCAAATGATACAGTATATAAAAGTATATTTAAAATTGAATAAAGCCCATTAATATGTCACCAATGATGATAAAAAGAAAAAAAGTGACAAAACTATTGTATAGTATGCAATGGAATTAAAAATCATTTATGGTAAAGGAAAAAAGTGAATGAGATAAAAAGAGGAGGAAAGGAGGAAAACAGAAAAAGTATGGTTAAATAAAAGGAATAAGAAATAGAGAAGAATGTTGTGAAGGGGAAAAGCACAAGAGATTATTTTAAAAACTAGCAGAGAAAAGTCAAGAATAGATTTCCTAATAATGAGGGAAAAGATGTGTGACCAATTTTATATAACTAGGAGGTGAATTAAAAAACAAACAACAACATAAAACAAGCAAACAAAAACAAAAGACAGCTGGGCTGTGATTGCTCTCTCCTTTAATCTGGATCTCTTGAGTTTGAGGCCAGCCTAGTCTACAAACAGTGAGTCCCAGGACAGCCAAGTCTACATAGAGGAAGAAAAAGCATAAAAGCAAAGGAAAAACAAGCCCCGAACCACAGTGAAACAAGGTCAGAATAACTGCTATAAAACATGGGGGCAAAAATAGAAGAAACAGCTCTCTTTTTGTGGTGCCTCCTAGGCTGTGGGCTGCATCAAGATGAATGAAGCTGAATATCCTTCCCTGCCATTGGCTGTCAGAAACTCATTCAAATGGAGGATGAATGCAAACTTCACGCATTCTGTGAGAAACACATGGCCACAGAGCAACTGCTGATGCTCTGGGTAAAGAGCGGAAGGGTTCCGTGGCCTGAATCAGTGGTGGGAATGACAGATGAGGGCCTTTCATGAAGCAGGTTGTCTTGACCCACAGCAGAGTGTGCCAGCTGTTGAGTAAGGGGTGTTCTTGTTTTAGACTAAGGAAAACTGGAGAGGAAGTACATGTCTGTTTGAGGATGCATTGTGGATGCTAGTCTGAGTGTTCTCAACTTGTTTATTGAGAGAGAAAGAGGAGGGGGGGGAGGGAGGGAGAGAGGGAGAGAGAGAGAAGGAGGGAGGGAGAGAGGGAGAGAATGATATTCCTGGACTGACAGATGCTATTGTGCCTTGGTGGTTAGGGCCTAAAAGAGCTAGCAGGATCCAAAAGTTCTTCAATCTCTCTAAAGATGATGTCTGCCAATATTTTGTCAGGAGGTCCTTTAACAAAGAAGGTAAGAAGCCCAGGACCAAAGCACCTGAAATTTATTCTCTTATTACTGCATGTGTCCTACAACACAAGTGCTGATGTACTGCTCTGAAGAAACAATGTACTAAGAAAAATGAGGAGGCTGCAGAATATGTTAAACTTTTGACTAAGAATGAAAGAAGCCAAAGAAAAAGGCCAGGAACAGGTTAGAGGTGTAATCTGTCCTTCACTGAAGAGCTTCTACTTCTAAGATTGAGTCCAGTTAAAAACAAGTCTTTAAAAGGAACAAATAAATAATCACTCCTTGAAAAAAAAAGTACTAAAAAAACCTACTGAAATGTAGTAAAAAGAAAAAGGGAAGCACCATGATGGGCAAACTTAAAAAAAAAAAAAAAAAGAAAAAGAAAAATATTATCTGGGAAGATGACTCAATAACCAAGAACATTTGCTGCTCTTGCAGGGGACCTCAGCAGATCCTATGTCAGGCTATTCAAAACGCCCTATAACTCCAGCTTCAGGGTATCTGTGGCCTCTGGACAACCCCCCCCCCCCCCAAAAAAAAAAAAAAAAAGCAAATCGTTTTAGAAAGATAAAAATAAACTCTTATTTTCAGCTTGGAGAAGGGTACCGAAGCATGTGTTCTATGTCTCCTGTTGTCAAGCAGGTGTGGTGGGCAAATGTCATCCAGAGCTGCCCACCTTCAGGGACTTCCTTTTGTAGTACCAACTAAACCTTGCAGTTGGTGTAGGCTCCCCCTCTCCAACCCCCCTTAGATTCTTCATTGTACGTTCTAGGGTGTCCTTTGCTCTCTTTGGGGTTATTTCTCAAGTACAGATCTGTGCTGTGGAGGAGTACTGCCTTCCTGCCACCAAACCCAGCTACTGCCAAGTTTTGATGCACGTACACATTGTATTACTACATTTAAGTAATGCTCTTGAAACATGTAAATTTACTACTGCTATGTATTCAGATTATTCAGCATTAACTTTGTAACTTTATATCCTTGATCAACCCATCCTCATCCTTCTTTCATCTCCTGAATCCCCAATTTTATTCAGCTTTTGATAACCACTCCCAATTCCATAAGATAAACGTTTTAAGATTCACCGAGTGTCATCCTGTGCTACTTATTATCTTTTTGTGCCCATCTTCATGTAAGTGAAGATCTCTAGTTCTACCCTTATTGTTAAAAGGATTTCATCTTCTGAATGGCTGAATAGTATTTCATTGTACATATGTTACCTTCGTAATCAGTTTGATTGAATACTTAAGTTGTTTCCATTATTTGTTTATTTATAAGTTAATACTTTAAGTTTATTTTTTTAAAAAAAGACTTATTTAGCCAATCGATAAATACAGATGGTAGATCTACCTATCAAACTAAATGTACTTATTTGCCATAGTTGGGCAGCCATTTGGAATGACATCCAAGTGGACCGCTGGTGTGTTTCATATAAATTCTTGAAATGTCCATGAGAGTTCCTTTATTACTGAATTGATCCATATGGGTTTTAATAAAGGGTGTTTTAATTTGGGACTTACTTGTATCACTAGATGAATACCTAGGATATACTTTTTAGATATATTTTAAAAAGAAAAAGACAAATTACTACTAATAGTGTCACTGTAGAAAATTTTCTAACCCATCTTTGACTTAACTGTTAAAATTGATTACATTTCTTTTTTTCAGGGTGACTGTCGTTCCTACAGTTATGTGTGTGGAATTTCCAGTAAAGATGAACCTGACTGGGAATCTCTTATGTTCCTTGCCAAGCTTATACCCCGAATGTGTCATAACATTAACAGGTACATTCTACAGGTAGCAGAGGAGATGGGTGTGTGGATGAAGTATAATTGGGGGGGAGCGGGGACAATATGTATTTTAGTCTTTGGTTAATGGCTAAAGGGCTTAATTGTACATGTATATAAGAAATAATAGATGAATGATTCTGTAGTTAGCAGCTGTTTGTAATTATGTACTTTGGTTAATTTTCTTGGTTAGGGGAATATTTAATATTGCATATTTTGGTCATTCATCACAGTACAATTATTTTGCTTATTTAAGAAAAATATTTGAAGAATAAACAATTTTGGGGGCTAGCTAGATGACTCAGTGGGGAAAGGTACTTGCCACTAAGCCTTGATGACCTGAGTTTGATCCCTGGAACTCCGTGGTAAAAGGAGAGAAGGAACTTTCACAGGATATCCTCTAACTTCCATATGTGATATGACATATATTTATCTGGAAAAATAATTCTTTTTAAAGATAGCTATGCTAGCTAGTTTATATCAATTTGACCCAAGTTAGTCATTTGGGAAGAGGGACTTCCAGTTGGCAAGCCTATATTGATTTTTCTTAATTAGTGATTGATGTGGGAGGGCCCAGCCCATCGAGGGGCCACCTCTGGGCTGTTGATCCTGGGTGCTGTAAAAAAGCAGACTGAGCAAGCCAGGAAGTAGTGTTCTTCCATGGCCTCTGCATCACTTACTGGATTCCAGGTTTCATCTCTGCTTGAGTTCTTGCCCTGCCTTCTTTTGGTGATGGACTGTTGCCTGGTAGTATAAGAAATAAACCCTTTCCTCCCTAAGTTGTCTTTAGTTACAGTGTTTTATCATAGTATTAGAAACCCTAACAAGGACAGCAGCAGATTGGTGCATCTGTGGGCTAGAGAACTGGGTGTATGGCTTTGGACCAGTATGGTTGTGGTGGTGTTGGCTTTTGGAAAAGCTAATTAAAATTGAATAATGTTGAGAAAGGCAATATAATTTTTATTTAGAATTGTGCCCAGTGCTGCACTGTGGGAAAGGGAGGGAAGCATAAGACTAGATGGAATCTCCATGGTCTGTGGTTAGGAGACACGTCAGGCCACGGGATTCTCTTACACAGATGGAGGATCTTGAGAATTCCAGCAGTGTATCCTTGGAACAGGAGAGGGAGAAAATGTAGATTTAACAGCTTATCTTTAAAAAGGCTACTAATGATTAATAACTACTGCCTGTTTATTACAAAACAAATATTGTGTGTCTTTTAATGTTTACCATAATGTTGTTTGTACACCAGAATTCAGAGCATGAAAAGCTTATAGAAAGTTTTTATTTGACAGTTTAGAGGTCAGTGAAATTGACTTGTAATAAAGTGAATGTGGTCTCTCAAAGTAGCAATCCTACTTCTATAACTACAGTCATTGCTTCTCTTTGTAAGATAAGGCTGGACTTAACTCCTAATGCTTACTTCCTCACAATGATGGAGGATGCTACCTCAGAGACTGGGTAATACTTAGTTTTATGTCATGGGTTATGTCAATATGCTTACTAATTCCCGGGGAAGTCTCACTGTTTCAGAACCAAGCAGGATTCCCCTGTGTGTCTGTCTGTTTGATCATTGGCCTCTCACAGGCAATGGTTCAAGGTGAAGTAGTATCCATCTGTATTATTCTTAACTATGCCAATTAATTAGAATCCCCTGAATTCAAAGTGCTTCCTCTTACAGAAAGGCAGTTTAATGTGGTTTGTCAATAATATCAAATAAAGAATATTTAACATTTTTTACTAAAAAATTCATTTAGTGTCAGAAGTGCTTATTAAATCTTATTGCAGAGTTGTCTCTTTCCAGTTTTTTTCATGAATATTATTTGCTTAACCAACAAGAGTTGCTTACAACTTCTTTTGGTTTTAGTTTACTATAGAAACTTGAAATGTAGCTGTTAGTGTTAATCTGGAAGAGTTGGGATGTTAAAGCCTAGGAGAGAGTTGGGAAAGCCAGACTTCCAAATCCACAGGAACATGCCACCCTGAACTGTACTGAGGCGAACCAAAGTTCCAAGACAATTTCTCACCTTGCTGTGTTTTCTCTGATGTGTTTCCATCTAGAGTTGTCTATATCTTTGGCCCACCAGTTAAAGAACCTCCTACAGATGTCACTCCCACTTTCTTGACAACGGGGGTGCTCAGTACTTTACGCCAAGCTGACTTTGAGGCCCATAACATTCTCAGGGAGTCTGGTAAGTGGCTCGTTCTCTTTATCACTGCACACTACAACAAGGTTTTCAGATGTTTGCCCTTAATAATTTCTAGCAGTAGGATGTAGCTCTTGCTTTTTGTTATAGGAGGTTCTATAATATTGCTTTTCAAATAAAATTAGTGTATCTTTGTGGCCATTTACAGACACCCAGAGTAGCAAAAAAAATGTGCATAGCCATGCTTGTGTTGAGAGCAGCTGAGGTGGACCACAGCAGAACTCTTCTTGTTTCAGCTTGCAGACAAGTGTTCTTGTCACTGTCTCCTTGCTGTTGTATTTTCAACATTTTCAGCGTTGTTTGTTGATGATTTTGCTATTGAGAAATCATCCTGCAGTGTAATACTGAAGAGCTAGCTGGACCCCTGAACACGAGGAAGCTGTGGAGTCATGTGTTAAATAAGTCAAGGCAGGTGTCTTAGTCATTGATTGTGAGTTCAGTGTTGATAGATCTAAAGTAAATCTTAAATTAGGTGTCTTTAAACAGAAATACACTTAAAGCTTGGTTTTACAGCGAGTAAAATTTGACCAGAGGTTTATAGGTTCCTATCCTTATATTTCCCCTGGGAAAGTGGACTGGTGTTCACTAAGTTGATGTTTACAGTATAGAATGCTGGACTACTTGGAATAACAAGTTGACTCTCCCTCTATGTGTCTCTCATTGCTGCAACATTGCCATGGACAAAAATGTTTTTGCTTATGTTTGTCTTATTTTCTTTTGTGGTGAGCTCTCAGTATATAGTTCGGGTAGCTCTCACATTGGAGGTCTTCTGTCCCAGTCTCCCACGTGCCAAGAGTACAGATGTGAACTACCACATCTGCATAATAAAAGTCCTATTTCATCCACTGTCAGTGCTGTATTTGAATTCTGTGTGTGATGAGTGTGTCTCAATGTGTGCAAGCGGTGGGAGGAGAGAGAGAGATGCTGGAGATTCTTTGCAGGGTTTCCTTGAGCTAGGTTAGAGTATTTCTCCAGAGTGTGGTGATGATAAGCAGTTCATGTACCTTTCTCTAGGGTATGCTGGGAAAATCAGCCAGATGCCAGTGATTTTGACCCCACTACATTTCGATCGAGATCCTCTTCAGAAGCAGCCTTCATGCCAGAGATCTGTGGTTATTCGAACCTTTATTACTAGTGACTTCATGACTGGTATACCTGCAACACCTGGCAATGAGATTCCTGTAGAGGTAATTTATGTTGCTTCCAATATACACACCAATGCCTCATATATTATGTAGTACAGTGATACAAATAGGCTGTGACAAAGTTTGTTTTTAGGATTGATTTTTTTGTAAAATAGATTCTCTCATTTTTCCTTTCTGTCTTCACTTATTTATTATTTAATACAGTGTAGCTAAAAGGGACTTTACATCTAATACAGCTTCCTAATGTCTGCTTATTTTGGTTACGACATGGAAAGTAACCTAGTCCTGCTGACTTTTAGTTGCTATAAATAGTTTTCTTATATAAAGGACATAATCCTAGGAGTGGAGACGAGTTGGCCTTTTTAAGAAACAAGAATGAGATTTGATGGTATTAACAATTATATTTTTTATTTAAAGATGGAGTCTTATGTATCTTGGGCTGTTCTTGAACTTCTAGCTGAGGATAACCTTGAACTTCTGATTCTCCTGCCTTCTCCTACCAAGTGCTGGGTTCTAGGAATGTGCTACCTTGTGGGTGATTGAAGCCAGGGTCTTGTGCATGCTAGGCAAACACTGTAGCAATTGAACCCTACAATTCCATTTTTTCACCACTTTCCTTGTCTTTCCACCAAAGTGTTCCAAAGGAGTTATTTATACAGCAGCAGTGAAAAGTTGAACTGAGACTTTAATTAGTTGAGCTCTTCTCTAGTGCTCTAGTGTGAGCTAGGCAGGGTCTTGCTGGATGGCTGGTTGGGGAATGTTTAGCATCTGTTTTTCTTATGGCCCATTTTGTCAGATCTTCAAGGCAGTCAAGGGATCAAGCTGTCTTTGACAAAGGATATTAGAGTGCTTCGTGTGACATTTAGTAGTGTTGGAATTATGTTATAAAGTGACATTGCTTGGATGCTGTTGCCATGTCAAACACTTTGAGGAGTACTACTGACTTTAAGTCACTATACCTATAGAGAAAAATAATCTAAGTTTAATCAGAGCTGTTCTTCTTATATGGAGAATGATAACGAAAATAGTTCCTTTAAATTTTAAGGTGCAAGAATAAGCCCTTTAGGATTATTGAATCATATGTATTATTATTATTATTATTATTATTATTATTATTAATTCTTTCTTGTAATCTTTGTTTTGTAAACAGGTGGTGCTAAAGATGGTCACGGAGATAAAGAAGATTCCTGGAATTTCTAGAATTATGTATGACCTAACGTCAAAGCCCCCGGGAACCACTGAGTGGGAGTAATAAATGTGTTATTGTTGAAGAAGTGTGTGCAGTTGAGGCTCATTAGAAACCACTTGTTAATGACATGCAGTGCTGTGAACAATGTTGCTGAAGCAGCTCCTTCATATCTGAGTTCTCATAGCAGCGATACTCGGCTTAAGTGTGGAGTAGGCATGATTAAAGGGAATGAAGAGTCTGTATGTATGGGTAAATAATCAAGGCCCATTGCACATGCAGACAGATTGCTCTTGCTTTTGCCTCACTCTCTTATGTATGAACTCTTGATGTCTGTCTACGACAATAGGTGACTGTGGCTTCTGTCTGCTTGCTATTAGAGACATCCTTTAATTACCAGTATGGCATACTATGTGTGCCTTTTGGAGAATCCGAATTTTCCTGTAAGTAATTTTATTTCTCCAAAGGGTGAGGGAGAGCTGTACATACCATAGAAAGGAATAAGAAAGCTGTTTAGACACTTTTAGGCAGGATACTAGGGGAGTAAAATGTAAGGTTCTTCCACAATGTAGAACACCAGGAATTTATTATGGAAGTACTTAGAGTGTGACTATGATGTCACAGCCATGGCAGGAAGGACCTGAGTGCTGTCAGCCTTTCAAACCCTGTTTCATACAGATGCCATGCTTTTCACGTCCATCTTGTTAATATAAACTAGGAGTTGATCCTCCCAGCCTTGTGTCACTAGCTCCAGCAGCTGTGTAGAAAGAGTTCTTACTCTCTCCCCAAAAGAGGCTGTCTCAGAAAAGGTTAAGACGAGAATGTGCTCTTTTTGTTTGCCTGCTCAGAGGACTCGGTCCCAGAAGCCATGATCCATCCCCACCACATCTAAGTGGGAGAGGAAATATTTCTATTATTTAGGAAAGAGCTGTAAACGACACCTAGGTCTGATCTGCAGACAGGCTTATTGCTTCCTGCACAGAAGTCTCAACTCATGTCAAGTATTTGCCAGCCCATTTTCTGCCGGCTTCTGGGAAGAGTTCAAGGCCAGTGCAGGAGTTGGTACCATTGCCAAAAGCTCCTTACAGGTTCTTTATGACATTCATGCAAGCCTGGGAAAGGCAGTAAAAAGACCCGCTTTTAGCTCAGGTTGCTGTCTGTTGCCTAGTACCAATTTCTATTTGGGATTCAGTGTTAAAACAAAAGGATATATAGCAGAAATCATCTTTCCTGGCCAGTTCAGAGGATAGCCAGGAACTCCTGTTGAACCAAGAGGGAAAGGTCCCTCTGTAGCAGACATCCAGACCTGAACAAAGTATTTCCTTCTAACAGGAGGATGTGATAGATTTAAGCAGATTGAGAGTTGTGTTATTTCTGAATGGGAACTAACCCGTATAAAATGCTTGACAAGGTGTCAGTGCATGTTCGATACAGAAAACCCTTCCTGTTATAGCAAAAATGTCTGGTATAAACAGCAGGAATTCGGAAGAATATGAATGTTCTTTCCCTGAGGTTTGTTTTGTGGCTCACTGTTTATTGCCATACTCTAAAACTGGTCAGGTGGTTATATACATTTAGAAGTGCTGCTCATTTGTAGTCATTGCATTCTGGACATTGCTGGTGTTTATGATCCTCAAATCTCAGACCTATTGGAATTAAAATGTATTTAGTGTTTTTCTCATGCATTTTCTTAAATGTCTTTTTATGTAATCCTTACTCTGAAAAAAATAATTTCTTCAAAACATACCTTTACTCTGAAAAAAATAATTTCTTCAAAACATACCTGCACATGACATAGAAACTTTCTGGGATTGAGAGATTATTTTCATCTTACTGTCAATCTTCTTGTGTGGTCATTTTTGTCTTGTACTGTATTGCTTACTTGATAATGTCATAGTAGTTCATCTGAGCTGCTGGAAATCTTACAGTCAAGGTGACAGACTCATCTTGAAAATGGTTATCAGTGACTTTAAGAACCAACTGCCAGGTTTTCTTGGATATAGCCATCCTTCTATTACGTGTATTCCAGCCCTCAAATCATATGACCTTACAGGTTGTTTATTTTTTGCTTAGACTTTGTTCATAGTAATAGTTACCGCTTGATAGTGTGGGCTGTTTTGACATATTCCATTTCTTACTTGGGACACTTCTCTATGTAATTGTATTTTGTTTCTTTGTAACTATTAGAGGAAGTGAGATCAGTGAAAATGTAATTTATTCCAAAATTGGCAGATAGGAAATTTCAAGAACCAAGTAAATAAATCCTAGCCCTGTCTTAATGGACCTGTTAGTGATGGTCAGGTCTGCTGGATATAATAGCCTGACGTAATTTTGAAGGCAAGTTTTTAGATGTATCTTAGTGACAGGATTGTACTGTTTTCTCTCTCCATCTTGGAGTAACTGCATGCAAGCATAAATCATAAAAGTTGATTTCCTTGCTCTGTTTGATTTAGCTATTGATGGCCAGTTTCAGTGAATAACTGAATTCTACTTTATATAGAAAATAAGGATATTCAAGTGAAATAGGCAACACTGTCCATCTTGCTTTTCTTTTCTTTCTTTTTTTTTTTTTTGCCTTGCTGTTAAGTAGATGGGTGGACCTGGACAAGTCATGTTCAATCCAGTTACCTCATCTTACGAAGTTCCAACATCAAACCCAACCCTAAATATTCATTCTTATTCTCCTTGAGACAGAATTTATGTAGCTCAGGTTCATCATATATTAGAGGATGTCCTTGAACATCTGACCCGCTTCCACCTCCCTAGTGCTGGAATTAGAGGTATGTACTCCTGTGTCCAGTTTATGCTGTACTGGTGATTGAACCCAGATCCATGTGTATGCTTGGCAAGCACCCTACCAACTGAGCCACATGCTTAGGTGCATTCTTAGTTATAAACAAGACAGCGTAACAGGGGACAGTGGAAAAGCTGGATAGTTCTTACACTTCTTTTAAAACATTAAACACAAACCCACATTCACCCGCCACCGCTGCCAGCTAATGAACATCAAGGTTTGGTCGTGTCAGATTCCTGAAAATGCTCATTACAGTGTTTGTGGACCAGTCTCTCTACTGTGTTTTTAGAAGAGCTGCCAGAGTATGTTTCAGCTTTGACATTAAATACTAGACATAAGTATTAGCTGTTGGCAGAGTAGGAGCTGGAATTCAGACTTTCTGATTCTGTGTTGAAGAGGTAGACTTTTATCTCTGTACAACTAATCGGATAAATTACTGTCACAGTATTGTCTCTCACAGGAGTTCTGGACGACCCATTGCCTTTCAGAAATGTTACCATTTCTGACTTTTCTCACTCCCAGTGTTCTGATTGCCTCTCACACTGCTCTCTCGCATGACCTCCTCCCCACTACCCACCCCCCACCCCCCCCACCCGTCTTTTCTCTGAGAATCTTCAGAGTGCTGTTGGAAGGCAAGCCTTCGTGGTTACCCCAGTGGTATGTACTCCTTTAATTGGCCCAAGTCTAGATTTAACTGGAAACTGAGTACAGGTTAAGTGTTTTCAACTTAGGAATTCTCTCTTGTCTTGATTGAAGTAACTGTACCAGATGGCAGAGGAAAACTCTTGTCACATGAGGCTTTCACCACAGTAATGGCTTTGTGAACATTTAACAGCTAGATGAGGAGTCCCCAGAGTGTCAGGATGCTACCTTTCAACAGTAGACATGCTGTATACAGAAGTCATATCCCATGGAAACCTTAACCGTAAGTGGATCCCAACCTTGGTTGCTGTTGCCTGAGGAATTAAAAAAAACAGACAAAACTCAGATGTGACTAAATTAAAGTTGAGTGGGGATGGTGCCCAACCCCAGTTTTAAGTTTCTCAGTGGGAAGAAGTTACTTTAAGGGATATACCTGGCCTCTTGTTAGAGTTTAAAGTCCTACTCAAACAGGTCAGGAATGAAGCCTGGAGAGTTTTGCTGAGATCCACATTAACTAAGTTCAGATCATGGGGCTACATTTTTTGGATCTGATTGCATCTATGCTCCAAAAGTCAGTGTACCAGCCTGTGTAGGGAATCTGTCAGACAACTGACATCTTTACCCATGTGAGAGTAGAACAATTGCATGGACTCACCCTCTTTCTTCCTACTCCTTTTAATTTTCTCTTGACAAGAAGATATCTACTCTGTGTTGTCGCCATCTCCAGTTCCGAGACTCCGTTGTCATGAACTAAGACTGAGCTATTCCTGTACCAGCTGAAGAAGCTTTAGGAGTGTGCTTTGTGGTGATTAGCTGTTAGAACTAGAGATGCCTTCTCAATTAGAGTCGTTTAACAGCACCGTTTTAACTTATCTAAGGTCTTTGTTTCCTGTAAAACTTGTGGCAGCTTTGGGCCTTGTTTATAGTAAAGTCAGAAGACTTTAGGGAGGCAGGTTATTTCTTTCATATGTTACATTCAGAAGCACCAAAATGAGTTGTTGAGAAACCTGAACCTCGAGTAATCTAGTAGAGTCACATACCTTAAGTTAATGTTGTCTTTACATTGACTGTGGTGACTTACAACCTTGACATTTAGATGAAATGAATGTAAACATCCTCTGAACGTATTTTTTATAAAGCACTATTTTGTTAATTGAAGTGAATAGTATAGTTTTTGTGAATCACTATGTAATTGTTAGTGACATGCTGCCATGTCTTTTATGTTGCAATGATTTGGCTATAAAATCTATTTGCTAAATTAATGTGAAATGACAAATTTCTTTGGTCTTCAGTGAAGTTCATAAAGGATGAAATGATTTCATAATTTGTCACTAAGTCTTGGTGTTTATAAAAATGAGAAGCAAGAACAAAGAGAACAGGACATGTTCAGGTTGTCAAGAAATTGCATATATTATTAGGACTTCTGGACAAGAAACTTAATCAACTTCCCTTAAGTGTGTAGGGATATGTCAACATCTTGTCCAGTGTTAACAGTGGACATAAATCTTTGGGACATAAGCTTTTTAGTTAAATGAGCAGCTAAAGATGTATATATGCATGTGTGCTTTAAAATTCGCCACAGACATGGCGTTCTGAATAGTCATCTTATGTAAGTCTTTAGTTTCTCAAAATATAGATTAGCCTTACTAATCTGTGTATTTTGTAGTGCTGGGAGCCACACCCAGTGTGTTTGGCCCAATATACAAGCGTTTGTCCACAGAGCTACATCACCAGTGCTGTGTTCTTTACTTTTCGGAACTGTGTTATGAGTGGTACAAACCCATGTCCTTTTAGAGATCAGAGGAAACCATGGGCAGAAACCATGAGCTCATGCTTGCTGTCAGCCACAGGGCTCTGCCTTGTTAGTGCTCCAGTTAGTGATCTGATATGGCCTCCTGTTGTCTCAAAAAATGAGTAAGTTCAACTATATTTTGGGAAGTTTTACTATTTTACTGCAGCTTAAAATGAGAAATGTTTCTGAGTTTAAATTTGAAGATTTTATAAATTAAAATTGTCATTCTCCATTTAAAAAATACTGTGTTTAGCATCAGGGGTAAGTTTTTTGTTCATTTTGTAAATTACTTGTGACCTGTATTAAAGAATGTTTGTAAATTAGGTCCTAAGAAGAATCCTAATCTATCCTTGATACTATGTTAAATCTTTAGAGTACTGTGCCTGTGTTTGTGTTTTAACACATCACTGCCAAATTATTCTTTAAATTAAACAACGTCAGTGAAAACCATTTAAAAATTTCCACTTAATGTGGCTATGTAAAATGATAGAAAACCAAGAGCCCCTTGTCAAGGTGTCTTTGTCTAATTACATTACAATGATTGTCATTCACTCTAAGAAAAATGTTTGTGGAATAAAAAAGTGTTTAGCTAAGTGCAAGAAATTTCCATCTTGTGGTCCTTTCTGATACAGCTTCGGTTTGATTGTGAGTGGTGAAGACATAATAAATTGAACTAGATTTTTATAGTGTTTTACTGGGGAAGTACCAAAAATGACATACATACGTGGGCACACATATTTAGTGACTGTGTTAAACAAGCTTCTAAAAATTTGGAAGTTTTTAAACAAAAAGAAAATGTCTAACATCTAACAGTGCTTTTTGGATCAGTCTCCTATTCCTGTCATCGGGCTCAAGAATGAGACACAATTGTCCTCAGTGACTGTCCATGATGCACTGCTGCTTGTTCCCCAGAGTTGGTGATCAGTACTCAGATGTTTAAACTGATTCAATGGCTTTGAGTATTTTTGTCTTATAGGTTCTGCTGCCTTCCTAACCTGTTTTCGCTGTAATTTTTCTTAAAGTAAAACAATGAACTATGAATTCGTTATTGAATAAGAAACTTGTTCTTGCAAGACAAGGTTCCCATGTAGCCTAGGCTGGCCTGCAAACTGGCTATGTAGCCTCAGGCTAGCCTTGAATTCCTGATCCTCCTTCATGCCTGCACCTTCCCAGTGCTGGAATCACAAGCCTGTGCACCTCACTGAAACATTCTGACTGATTTCATTGCTTTCTCCTTTTCTGATCAGGCTCTTTCTACTTTGCCAATATGATGTAAGGGGGTTTCCAGATACTCAAGAGCTCTAAATGAGTAGGTGTTCTGCTTACTGGATGGCATTTGGTTTTTATCTCATTTGGGGTGGAGTGGGGAATAGGGAGCAGTATTGAGTTACACCCAGTGCCTGTGTGTAAGGCAGGCAGTATTTCTGTGTGAACTTGGAGTATGCATCCTAACAGCAGCTGTTTGAGAAGAGCTTTATGTACAGGAAAAGAAGAAAATGTTCATCTTTTGTGCTCTCAACTGGGGTTGATTACTAGTTGGATGACTGAGTCTACAGCCATTGCAATCTCATGCTTATTTTTGTAGTACTATTTTGGAGACTCAGAATAGGAATATTTGTGTTTGGAGCTGCTGAGCAAAGTTAATTGAGGTATAGATGCTCATTAAAATGTGGCCTCTCCTTTTTAGAACCCCAGAAAGATGAAGTAGAAGCCTGAGTCCTAGTCCTCATGAACACATAGTGAACTTAGAAGGAGCAGCCTAGAAAAAACAAGAGAAGATGCCATTGGGAAGCCAAGTAGCTATACCCACATCACTGATTGTGGGAATGAAAGACATTTCTTTTTACTGCCCGCCCCCCCCACAAACTTTGGTTATAGTTAACATGTTTACATTGGATGTAAGAAGCCTTTCTATAGTCAGGAACCGTTCTTGGGGGAATCAAATGTGTGAGTTTTAAATCAGGGTCAGGTGCATACACACAAATAATAGTGACTGAGGGTTCCATTTACATTTTCATCTGGAAGTTGTGCAAATGTTTGATCCATTTATTGACAGTTCATAGACGTGCTAATTATAGTGTTTGTAAGTAATGCTCTAAATAGAGTCTGCTTGAAGATACTCTTAATGCTTATACCTTAAAAAGCTATTTCCATATCATATTCTGTATTAAAAGAACTGAAAACCTTCCTTACATTCTTTGGCAATTGTGTATCTTTATGTAACTCATCCAATAGTGCTCAGTTAAAAGCTGTATGGTCTCTTGTAGTGGCCTCTTTTTGAAGCCGTTATTTAAAACTTGTTTTTTACACGAGCAGGTTCAGTGGAAAAAAGCAAAGGTTCTGAGTTAGTGAAACAGGCTTTAATCCATAGATCCTGGAATGAGTTTTTTAAATTAATTAATTAATTTTTGGTTTTTTCGAGACAGGGTTTCACTGTGTAGCTTTGTGCCTTTCCTGGAACTCACTCTGTAGCCCAGGCTGGCCTTGAACTCACAGAGATCCACCTGCCTCTGCCTCTTGAGTGTTGGGATTAAAGGTGTGCGCCACTACCACCTGGCTGGGAGGAGGTCTTAAATACAGGCTTACAGCACAATGGGAGAACCCTGGAGGGCAGAAGTTTGCTATCGATGTTTTACAATCTTGCATCTAAGCTGTTAACACCCATTATGTAGGATATACAGACAAGGAACTTCCCTTAAGCATTCAGGAGGTTGAAACCTGAGAGGGAATTAGCATAGGGAGGACATCAAGGTCAAGGTCAGCAAGCAAGGCAACAGTTACCCAAAAGGGGGACCAGGGACCTACAGGTCCCCCTTTTACTAATAAATGAGCTTCTGACTTAGGTTGCGTGGGACATCAGCAGGTCACCTTACCCGTCACGGAGATGCCTGTCCAGGCCACACAGGTGCTCTGTCTTAGGTTGGTGAGCGCCCCCCAGGCATTACCCATCTTTGAATACTCATTATCATACAGGCTCAATCGTGTGTGAGCTGCAGAATTAACTGTTGCCAAAGATCTCAAAGTGGCGCTGGGCTTGCAGTCTGTGTGTTCAATACAGAAAAGACCAACAGAAGCCCTAACCCACCCATAGCCAGTAGGCTAAAGGCAACTGAGCCATTCCCTTTCTTAACGAGCCTTACTGCAAATTGGGGTCATTGTAAGATGGTATACCAAAAGCAAATGGAAATTGAGTTTATAAATTTATAATTTTCAAAGCCAATCGAAATGTATATAACTATTGAATTAAATTTATCATGCCGAATAGAATGAAAAATTAATTAACTGTGGTAGCTACTTTTGCTGCCAGGGTCTCCACTGTGCTAGCTGTAGCAAGCAATTATGAAATGGTAATCCCAGAAACAATAGCAGCGGTGGCCGCCACTGCTATAACAGCAACAATGGCAGCAGCGATGTCAAATTCTCTTCTGGAGCATGTGGGCATCCACTGGCATGGACACACTCCAGGAACATGAACTGCCAAGGCCCATTTTTCTTGATCCCAGCATGATTTTAAGCTGGTAGCTCTGCAAAAGAACAACTTAAGAACTATAAAGAAAAAACAGGCAGCTCACAAGGAGCATAACTAATGGTCTTATAATGGCTACATTCAGGCTCATAAATTTTAAGGTATCTTCAAAGGGGGCTAAATGAATTTCAGGAGGCCAATAAATGTTGCACAGAGCCATTCCTGGAAAGTAGGTACTACACCAGCTTGAAGAGGATTATGAAAATGAAAAGGCTTAGTTGGCATGCTACTGTTAACAAATGGAGGTCAGTGACCTTCAGGGTTATCCTTATTCTCTAAGGTGTCTGGGTGACACGATTTTGAACATACTTGAAAAAGCAGTTACCATCCATTACCTTCTGTAGAATCCAACCGCATGACTACAGTTCCTAGGCTTACATTAATGCTTGCCAAGGCTGCCCATATTGGGCTTTCAATCTCCATTGGCATCAGAAGAGGAGAGTTTTTCACGAAGGCCCAATAGGTCTCTGCCATGTTTTACTTCAGTAGCAGCTACAGGGTGCACAGAACTCAGGAATCCAAAGAGGAACCCCATTGTCCTGAGGAAAGACATAAACAGAACCCCGGGCCCACACCAACACAAGATTGGGTCTCCTCCAAGTGTCAGTAGAAAGATCCTTCCATTGCTCCAGAAGGTGATTTGCATCAGGAGCCCTCCTGGAATGAGTTTTAACAACCTCATCATTCCAGGTAGTGATGAGGTAGTGATGGTGGCATTTGCATAGTTTTAGAGGGAGTAAGGGCCTGTGGGCTGTAAGGTACTCAGCAATTAGGATATCTCCTCAAGATTTGTATTGCATTTGCATAGTTTTAGAGGGAGTAAGGGCCTGTGGGCTGTAAGGCACTCAGCAATTAGGATATCTCCTCAAGATTTGTATTGCATTTGCATAGTTTTAGAGGGAGTAAGGGCCTGTGGGCTGTAAGGCACTCAGCAATTAGGATATCTCCTCAAGATTTGTATTTTGAATGTGCTCTGTTTATTCACACAAACTTTCCTTATAATACCATGTTAATATAAAAGTTAAACAGGATCTCACCAAGCAAGGAACAGTTGTTTGGGCAGGAAGGCTACTGCAGGGTTCCACCGGGGGATTTTCTCTAGTGAGTATGCTTCTGAAGTTTGCAGACTCGACCCATGTAGGTTGTAAAGTCCTTCAATTGTGGCACCCTCGGAGGATGGCATTGGTAGAGGTCCTGGAGATCCTTGAGAGCATAGGCCAGGGGCTAACGCTGACAGGCAGGCCTGTGTGGGTCCAGTCAGTGATGATCACTGAGGCCAGGCCATGCACACGTTCTCAAGTCCTCTCACCAGTGGGTATAAACACAGACTATTACTTTATTGGACCTGTAGCTTTGCTCACAGCTTATGGCTGGTTCTCTAGCATATCAGCACCACCTTGAGGTTAGTTCATTAACACATCAAGGCCTATCCCAGGCTACCTGAGCTACCTGGTGGCAAACTTCTATCTCACATTCATTACATTACTCCAAGTCACATAATAGTCAATCATTTCTAAGCTATACTGGATGGTTTTTAAGCTATATTCTTTACAGAATTGGATTCAGAATCCTCTGGGAGTAAGCGACGGGAACCTTTTTCTTCTTGTGTTGTTATTAGAATATCTCTGAAGCTGGAGGTGGTAGTTCGCATCTATAATCCCTGAACTATAGAGGCTGAAGCAGTAGGGTCATGAATTTGAGGCCACTGTAGTTTAAGCTACACAAACCTGAAAATCTGACCTCAAAACAAAGAACAATTCCTCCTTCATCTCTGGTGATAGAAATTATCCCCAAATGGAGAAGCAGCTAAGAAAAGGGCAGTTGTTGGGGAGGCAGGCCCAGGCCTTAGTAGTCTTGGGAAGGAGATAGTTCTGGACATCTGGTAGAAGTACACTTATTCTTAGCTGGAACCTCAAAGTTTATGCTTTGGTGGTGAGTCAAGTAATGCCATAGGGTCTGACAGTGACCTATTGTGTTGAAATCAAAGTCACAATTGTCACATCAGGGCAGTGGCTTTGTAGGGGTTTTGATGTTTTACATGTGTGTGTGTGCATACATTTTTGCACTCCGGTGAACA